TAGCCACCCAGAGTCATCATCCCAACATGATCACAAGGAAGGGAAGCATCTCGGATCACTGCCACCCCAGGGTGAGGCACACAGCTGTTTCCAGACCAAGGTTTAAACTAACCTGTGTGGCTCCAATAGCACAATGCACGCTCACTGTGGTGGTATCACTGAGCAAGTAGCCAGCAGGCACAAGCTACTGCTCAAAGTCACTCTGGTAGCACATGCCATGGTCTCCCTGTGGCAAGTGACAGGTACCCATTTCACTCACGTAGTTACACAACACCCACAGTCCCTGGACAGAGCTACAATGAAACAGTGGGTGACAGCAGCACCACTTACAAGGACATCCTGTCACACAGCAGTCGAACTCCCCAAAGCCTGTCACAACATTGAGACAGCCCCTTAGCCATCTCAACCAGCCGCCAAGCTTGCTCATGCAGCCCCCACGATTGTCCCTAGGACACCCCCAGCCCCTGAGTCTGAGAGAGGGGAACAGACTGAGGCTGACAAGCCCCCTCCCCTCTCTAGTTAGAGCAAGCAGAGCTGGGAGGGGCTAATGGAAGCGCAGCTGTTGGCGGTGGGTGCCAGCCCCCCCACCTCATGAATATTCATCAGCTGGGGCTCTCCTGAACCTGTAGGGAGTGGAGGTCCCAGGCAGCTGGGCACCCTGTTTGTGCCAGGAGGCCCTCAGGTGAGGGGGACTTTGCCAGGCCCCCCCACAGTCCTCAGAACCCACAACCATTTCCACACATAAGCACACGAGTTTGTGAACACAGGCTCAGACACACATGTCCACACAAGCTCACAATCACACCTGACAATGCAACCATCACACGCACATATACACACGAAACATGCACACAGGCACACACACAGTCACATGAAGTCACAACCACACCCAAACCACAGACACCCACCACGCACACACACACACACAAACACATACACACCAGGCATGCAAACACAAGGCCACATACAGACACATGACCACAAATACAGACACTCCATTGCACTCAGAGGACCCCACTACTCCCCATCAGACATGCAAATACATACGCCCACATTTCCAGCACAAGACACATCGTCACCCCCAAGCTACAACTAACAACTCTGTGCACAGGGATGGAGGCTGTGACCTGAAGCATGCCAGACTCTACCCCTGAGCTGCACCTCCAGACCAACAGCACCACACAAGCATCCAAGCATTACCCCCAATTTCCCACAAATACACAATCCCACCCATACACACAACCATCCGCAAAAGGACACACACACACACACACACACACACACACATACACACACAGGCTACACTTTCGCTCTGCCTGCCCTTGATGTTTCACAGATGGGGAAACTGAGGCACTGAGCCTCCAAGAGGCTCTTGAAGGAAGGACCAGCCCTCCAGACTCCAGGCAGAGACTACAGGCGGGCGCCCCCTGCTGGTCCATCCTTGCAAGAACGCGCGGGGCGGCCGCGCGCGGGGCGGGCACGCGCCTGACGTAACCATGGCATCCTCTTGGCACGCGCGGCCCGCGCGCAGGGAGGGCGGGGCGGGCGCGTTGCCATGGCGCCGGCGGGCCGCGTGAATGGGGCATTGTTCACTGAGGCGCCCGGGCCGGGCTGTCCCGGACCCACCCGGACCCACCCAGGGCCTGCAGAGACTGGAGAGACAGGGAGACACCAGAGATGGAGAGACACGGAGATAAAGGGAGAGATGGAGAAAGACACGTACAAGGGAAGATTTAGGGCCGAGAAGACTCAGAGGAGAGATGGAGCGGAGAAACGAGACTAAGAAGGTGAAGAAAGCAGAGATGGGAAAGACATGGAGAATCCAAGAGGAAGAAATAGAGACCGGAGGGAGCTCCAAGATGGAGAGAAATACATGAAGAAGGAAGGACAGAGGTGGCAAGACCAAGGAGAGGCACAATCAGCCTTTGGGGACACTTCTGACACCCCAGCACATTCCTCCAGGGACTCACACCCTTGGAAAACTGAAACCTCAAACGTGCTCACAGTCACGCCTTTGGGTAAACCACACCCATAGCCACCAGTGACAGTCAAGGACGCATTCATGTGATAAGGGACCATCACCGGAGTGACACCTCAGTTATAGACACAGCTCCATAGATACACTGCACACGAGGACTTTCTCACCCATGTGGTCACTGGCAGACATGGTCACACACTGTCACACAGACTCCATACATGGGAACGCTGTCACAAATGGTCATCCCAGATGCATGGTGCACCCTCATCTCCACACCTGGAGATGCATTTTTAGACATTCTGAGCACTGCCAGTGTGGGCGCCCTGTCCCAGGGTCCACTTCTCCATATTTGAGTCAGTGGAAGCTGAGAGATGTTAGTCTCCAGCGGACACTGGGATGGAAGGCAAGGGCGGTGAAGCCCCGCCCGGTCTCCATCAAAGGGCTGGGTCAAGTCAGGCCAGGGTGGTCCCCCCAATACTGCGCTGCTAGATCAGCCGAGTCCAAACCTGGGCCAAGGGCAGCCCCTGGTGGCCATACTTGGTGCCTGCACCCATTCTTAGGGGGATGACAGGCAACCGAGTGGGTTTCAGAGTTCTAGGCAGAGATGACAGGCTCAGGCAGAGTGCGAGCCGGAACACCACAGTCCACAAGGGAGAATACAAATCCAGAATTACCAGCCTGCTTTTCAGGTCTCATAATCCTAGTCCAGGTTCTGGGAGAGGGTGTGGGGGTGCACCTCAGTGTCACAGTGTTTGCCTATCATGTATGACGCCCTGGCTTCCATCCTCAGCACCAAAAAGAAAAAAGGGAAAAAAGAAATCTAGATTCCAATGATACAAAGATCTAGAATCCAGATCCAAGAATGCAGGACCCAGAATTTGTGTGTATGTGTGTGTGGTACTGGGGTTTGAACTCAGGGCCTACACCTTGAGCCACTCCCCCAGCCCTTTTTGTGATTTTTTTTTTCTTCAAGATAGGGTCTCACAGAACTATTAGTCTGGACTGGCTTCGAATCATGAGATCCTCCTGATATCTGCCTCCTGAGTAGCTAGGATTACAGGAGTGAGCCATGGACCCACCTCTCCCCTAGCAGGACCCAGAATCTAAAACCCAGGCCCATAATCCAAATTGAAGAATCCACACCCCAGAATCCAAAAGTCTAGACCCATTCAGAAGTAGACTCGAGCTCCAAGAACCTAGAGCCTAGAACCCAAAGACCAGCCTGTATAATTCAAATCCCAGAGCCCTCGGGACTCTCTAGAGTACAGCTGGGGGGGCCCAGGGAGAAAGTGCTTGCCCAGCATACGTAAGGCCCTGGGTTCCACCCAGAGCACTTGAAAAAAAAAAAAAAAAACCCAAAACTCTCCAGATGGCAGACAGGGTTGGTGAGGTCAGAACCAAACTGAAGGGATGGTGAACACATGTGGCCCCTGTCCCAGTCAGTGCTCTACCCCACATGTGCACACGCACGCACACACACAGATGCTACACACACACACAGGCTGTATGTCAGGACTCACACCCCCCAGCATGCCACTTCCTCAGAGGTACACTCACACACACACGGTCACCCCAGGGCACATAGAACCACCACCCGCTCCTCTCCCAACTCATAGACACGTGCGCATCTGCACACCCACAGATGTCACAGCCGTGCCTGCATCCACCCTGGCAAATCCCCAGGTGCAAGTCACCACCCAGGGACACACAAAAACCCACAACTCCCAGACTGACACCCAGACACAGTCTAGGAATTGTGGAGGAGGCTGGAAGGGGTGTGTGCACACACCTGTGCCCAAACACACACACACACACACTCCCTGAGCGCAGAGAAGCCCCAGACCTTGGCAGCCACACAGCCCCTGGGAACAGGACCCCAGGGACAAGGCTCACCATGTACCCCCACCCCCGCCCCCATCCCATCCCTCCCCTGCCTGGCTCTCTGGCGGGCTTTAATACAGATGCTAAACTCATAATTGTAACTGAGGGTGACAGGGTCACCTTGAGCCCCAGATGCTCGCGCGGTGACAGATGGCATTGGCAAACCTGATTAGCAACCCCCCGTGCCAGAGCCTGTGGCACCTGCCTCCCTGCCCCTCCCCCGCTCCCCCAGCTCTCATTACCCACCCATTACTGGGCTTGGGGGGCAGTGGTGGGGGCCGCCTGGCACTGCCCAGGAGGGGGCAGGGACTCTGGGGGCCCTCCTGGCACCAAGGTTCCCAGCTGGCTCTCCTGGCTGGCAGGAGGTGGGCACAGCTGAGTGGGGAGGGGGAACAGGCGTCTCGTGCTGGCCAGAATGTAGGTGCCAGGCAGCTGCCCACTTGCACGCTGCCTGGGGTCCAGCACCAAGCTGGGGAGACAGGAAGAAGGGTGCACCCCCCCACCAGGTCCCATGACCTCTCCCTCCAGGGCCCTCGGAACACATGGGAGCTGCTTGCCAGGCCCGTTCCCACCCCTCTGTGCAGACCTGCAGGGTCAGAGGTTACAGGCTCCCACGCCCCAGCGCATCCATCTGTTTCCTCGGGGGCCTCCTGCTCCCCTCACCTGAGGCCTTCCTTCCTGAGGCAGGAAGAGGGCTGAGGGGGCCCCCAGCCTGCTCTGCCGCCCCGCATTCCGGGGGGCATTTGGAGGCAACACTGACAACGCCACATGTCCCTGTGTCTGTGCCAGACAGGCCCATCTGCCAGGGTCCTGGTTCCAGCCGTCCACAGCCAGACTGTCCTCACCCTCCCGCTGCAGAGAGCACCCGGATGCCCACACCCAGGGAACCCTAGGTGGAGGAAACACACACACACACACACACAGATTGGCTGTGCCTGGCCAACCTTTATGGCTCCCCTGAAATGTGCAGGGACTCAGGTGTGTGGGGGGGGTTGGGGATCAAGTCAGCTGGGGATGCATGGGGCCTGACTCTGGCTCAGAGCCCCTGGTTTTCCCCAGCAGCTGTGTCTGTCTGCCTGTCTTGGTGTTTTGTTGTCCCTAGGATGGGGTCATCACTGTGTCTCCTCATCTGGGTGGGGCTGTCTGTCCTCACTAAAGCTGAGAGTGTGTCTGACTTATTCTGGAAAAGACAGTTCAGCCAAGTGGTTAAGATCTGAAACCCGAGCTGAGGAGGTGGCTTAGTGGGACAGAGAGAGAGAGAGGTAAATTCCAGCTGTGTCACTGACTCTGGGCTGATGAGGAGTCATCCATGAATGATCACATGACTTAATACCTGTCAAATACTTCACCTCGGTCTTCTAGACCCTAAATGATCAATACATGAGAGCTATGGCTTTGTTTTTTTGTTGTTGTTTTTTTTTAGTGGGACTGGGGTTTGAACTCAGGGCTTCCCACTCACAAAGCAGGTGCTTGAGCCACACCTCCAGTCCATTTTGCTCTGATAGTTTTGGAGATAGAGTCCCACAGATTATTTTCCAGGACTGGTCTCAAACTGATACCCTCCTGATCTCAGCCTCCCAAGTAGCTGGGATTACAGCGCTCAGCATCCCCGTTCCCTTAACTCGGTCGGCATACATCATCCGGGTTGGCGTCTTTCTCATCCTGTCTCTCCATGACTCCAAGATTCCTGTCTGTCTGTCCATCCATGTTGCTCAGCTCATGCCTTTGGGCGGCACTGACATCCTTCAATCAACATGGAGAATATCTTCACCCGCCGAGGGGAGTCGGGGCTGCCTGTGCTACACCACAGGACCACGGGTGCCCAGCGTTTGCGAGTGGGCACACAGCTGTTGCAGAGGACGAGCGGGGTGGCATCGGAGCCAGGAACATAGAGGGAGGAACAGCGGCCAAAGCAAAGGTGATTTTGGACCCGGGCAGCTGTGCAGCCAGGCCTGGAGAACACCTGGGATGAGAGGCAGGGAGTCAGTCCAGGCGGTGGAATCAGGGCCCTGTGTGGTGAAAATTAACACCTACCCACTCCCACCTTGACAGACTGGAGCCAGGCTGCCTGGGTTCCACGCCTGACTGTGCCATCTTCTGGCTGTGTGGCCCAGGAAAAGTTATTCAACCTGTCTGGGCCTCCTGTGAAATCACTGAAATTCAATTAGGAAAAGAAAAAAATTTGGCCAGGCAAGGTAGTTCACACCTGTAATCTCAGCTACTCAGGAGGCAGAGTTAGAAGAATTGCTGTCTGAGGCAGGCCCCAAGCAAAAGCAAGAAATCATGCCTAAAAAATAAACTAAAGCACAAAGGGCTAGGGAGTGGCTCAATTGACAGACTGCCTCGTGAAGTCCTGAGTTCAAACCCCAGTAGCACAAAAAAGGAAGTCATTAGCAATCAAGTCAGCACACTGTGTGAATTCCCAAGCCATTAAGGAGCGCTGACTGAATGCAGCCAAGTGTCATCTAAACTTACCTTATTCAGGCTGCCCAATAGCATATAGGGAGGGATATACTACTTATGACTCATTTATTCATTTAACAAACACTAAGTGACCACTGTGTGCCTGGCTCTGCTCTCTGGTCTAGGGACAGGAATAGTACAGATAACAAAACCATCTATAAAAAACAAAAACAAAACAAAACAAAACCCTCTGTTTTGGGGGTGAGGGGCAGACATTCCAGCAAAGGAAATTTCATAGCTGGGTGTGGAGGCTAAGGCAGGAGGATCTCAAGTTGAAGGTTAATGGAAGCTACACAGTAGAACAGTGTCTCAAAAAAAAAAAAAAAAAAAAAAAAACTAACAAAGAGCCTGTAATCCCAGCTACTCAGGAGGCAGAGAGCAGGAGGATCAGGGTTTGAAGCCAGCCTGCAAGATCCCATCTCAAAAATACCCAACACAAAACAGGGCTGGTGGAGTGACTCAAGCATCAGCATGCCTACCTGGCAAGCGTGAGGCCCTGAGTTCAAACCTCAGTACCGCAAAAAAAAAAAAAAAAAAAAAAAAGGCAGGAGGTACTACATTTTAAGTTAAATGACATTTTCAGCAAATTTGAACCAGGTGAGAGAAGGAATCTTAGGGTGTCTGTCAGGGGAGAGTGCTTGAGGCAAAGGGCACAGCCTGTACAAAGGCTGCAACTGTGCAAAAGCAGTCACTGTAGCAGGGGTGAAGCAAGAGGGGAGGAGAACCCCTGCCCACTCACCTGCACAAAGGGCACCGCCTTACACATCTCCCGGGTCACTTCCCGAGGGTCCAGGGGCAAAGACTCAGCCTTGGTCGCTTTCTGCCCATGCTGTAGCCACTGTGGTGCCAGCCGTTGGGTTTTCTGCAGGCCCAGAAAGGCCTTCCAAGTGTCCAAGGGACCCAGAGCCCAGGTCTGATTAGTGACAGCCCAGAACCGAGGTGGGGGAGCCTGGGGTTCAGTCCTCATCGAGCCTATGGGCAGCCAGGCCCCGCTAAGCAGGCCCAGGAGAGTGGTCAACTGGCCTCGGAGCATCTGCTGGGCAGTCTGTCCGTCTGTCAGTCTGGGATAGGGCTCAGGGTCCTGTGCAGTGGGCCCTGCTGTCTGGTGAGTGAAGTGAGGCTGTCTCTGCGAAGCGGCTTTTAATCACACTTGTCCCCACCTGGGCAGCCTGGGAGGGGCCTCTGTAAACTCACAGGGTCTGTGTGTAAATCAGACCTGCTGAGTTCCTGCAGCAACTCCCACCCTGCTGGGGAGCCCTCGTGGGGTGGGGACGGGATGAGGGACACAGTGCTTGAAGTTCCTGGGAAACTGTTAAACTTTTTTTCTTAGCAAAAATCACAACTCTGCAGTCAGGCTTTGGGGGTTTTCATCTCGGCATTGATATTTTTCTTTTTTTTAAGTACTAGGGCTTGAACTCAGGGCCTACACCTTGAGCCTCTACCACCCCTTTTTCTTGGGTTGTGTATTTTTGAGATAGGGTCTCTCGAACTATTTGCCCGGGCTGGCTTTGAACCACGATCCTCCTGATCTCTGCCTCCCAAGTAGCTAGGATTATAGGTGTGACCACCAGCGCCCAGCAGCACTGCAATTTCTTGGCTGTGTAATCTCAGGCAGGTCCCTTAACCACTCTGAGCCTCAAATTCCTCTTTTGTAATACAGGGTTGGTTAGGGTTTGTTGTTTATTTTGAGACATGGTCTCGCTCTGTAGCCCAGGCTGGCCTCAAACTCCTGACCCTTCTGCCTCAGCCTCCTGGGAACTGGGATTACAGCTGTGCCACACAATGTCCTCCTCTTTTTGTAAGATAGGGTTCATAAAATTCCCTCCTTCCACTCCCTCATGGGGTGATTCTGAGGACCGAAGTGAAGAGTTTAGAGGTTGATACACAGTAGCATCATGAATTGTGACTTTCTTTCTTTGTTTTTTTTTTAACTATTCCAGGAACGGAAGCCAGGACCTTATGGAGGCTAAACTGGGACTCTACCACCACTGAGCTACACCCCCAGCCCCATTCAGCAAGATGACTGTGACTATCATTTTTTCTTCAGCACCTCTTACAGGCCGGGCATAATTCTTAGGGGCACTGTGCAAAAAAGTGGGTGGTCCTTGCCACCGGATTTTACATTGAAGTACAGAAATTAGAAAACAAACAAACAAAAAAGATAAATAAGGTAATTTCAAAGTGTTACATGTTAAGAAGATAGTAAAGTGGAAGGTGACTTAGAGGACTGCGGGCGGGGGCTTCTGTTCCCAGGGTGGCCAGAGAAGGCCTCCTGGAGGAGGTGACAATTTTGCAGAGACCTGAGATGCTGCTGGAGGCCATGGGAACAGTGTGAGAGGTAAAACACAAGGGCGTGGGAGAGACACGTCCCAGGCTTTGGGTCTCCCACCCCAAGAAGCTTAGGGGGTCCAAGTCCGGCCCCGGCACCCTCAGGGCGCGCAGCTCGCATCCAGGTGAGAAGCAGCGGGGCGGGGTCTTCCCGCGCCCCCGGAGCTGCGGCGCCACAGGGCGCGCTCGCCCCCTAGTGGAGGCTCCCGGAACTGCGCGGCGGCCAAGCCCAGGGACACCTGCCACCAAGGACCGCTGCCCATCTGCAAGTGCGCGGGGGGCCTCGCTCTCAGTCCCGCTCCATCCAAGCGCCTGACTGATCTCCAGCCTGTCCTTCTGCTGTCCTCTAGACACAGTCCACGGCAGTTAAGTCCTGTCAAGGGCTAAGGCGCCAAACTTTGTAGCAAAGTGGACCCCTTTATTTCTGTGCCACCCCTGTCCCCAGGGCGGCTCCACTTCAGAATCTACCTAGAAAGTCGGGCGCCGGTGGCTCACAACTGTTATCCCAGCTACTTGGGAGGCTGAGATCAGGAGGATCGAGGCCATTTCGGACAAATAGTTTTTGAGACCCCCATGTCCAAAACAACCGGAGCAAAATGGACTGCAGGGGTGGTTCAAGCGATAGAGCACCTGTTGGTAAGAGTGAAGTCCTGAGTTCAAACTCCAATGCCGCCAAAAGAAAAAAAAAGGAAAAAGTCTTTCCTTTTCCCTAAAACATTTTCCTGTCCAGAAACAAGCACTGTGACTGGCTTCTTGTAAATACAGGAGTCTGTCCTTATCTAGGTTTTCCCTTTTCTCCATTTGAGTTACCCAAGGGCCACTGCACTCGGAGAATATTAAATGGCAAATTTATAATGAATAATTATAAATGAATAATGAATCACTCATAACTTTCAATTGCTCATTGTTCCAAGCAGCATGATGAAGTCTCTCACCTGTCCCCTTCATCCCACCTGGGACTTGAACCGCCCTTTGTCCAAGTAGCCATGCTGTGTATGCTACCCGCCCGTTAGTCACCCAGTGGACATCTCAGTTATCAGATGCGTGGACTTTGATATTATCTGATGTTTCAGGCACCCGCTAGGGACCTTGGGACATCCCCCCCCATGCATGAAGAAAGACTACTGTACTTACATATTTGTATCTCTGTCTCCTGTTCTTCTTCATCTTTATGGTTTTTATGAAGCTGGGGGTGGAACCAGGGCTTTGTGGTGCTGGGCAAGCGGGAGACTACTGAGCCCCATAGCGCTTCTATTGAAACACAAATGAAAGCAATTTTTGCCTTTTCTCTAATTCTTGATTTTTTGTTTGTTTGTTTGGTTGGGTGGTTGGTTTTTTTTTTTTTTTTTTTTGGTAGAACTGGGGTTTGAATTGAAGGTTTTTCACTTGCACTCCATTACTTGAGCCCATTTTGCTCTGGTTATTTTGAAGAGTTGGGGATGGTTTGTTTTGTTTTGTTTTTGAGATACAGTCTTGTGAACTATTTGCCCGGGGTTGGCCTAGAACCAAACTGTAATCCTCCTGATCTCAGCCTCCCAAGTAGCTGGGATTACAGGCATGAGCCACCAGCATCTGGCTTGATCCTTAATTCTTCTGTGAACTATTTTGGACATTCAAGTAAATTTAAATAGAGGCATGGAAAGCATTCCTATAATCATCACCATAAATAAAACATTGTGGGTATTCTCACTCTAACTCTACCTCTCCCAACACTAAATTCGGCTGGAACTACAGGTGTGCACCACCACCTCAGCTCTTTATTTAAAGTTGCCACATAATTGTACATATTTATGGGGTACAGTGTGACATTTCATTGACCACATTGACCTTTTCTTTGCATGCTGGGAACACTCAAAATCCTCTTAGCAGGTATTTTGAAATATAAAATTCATTGTTGGCCACAGTTATCCTACCTTAAAAGTTATTCTTCCTACCTAACTGCACTCAATTTTAATTTACACATAAGAATTATTTCAACCTCTTTAGCAAATCCTCTATGGTTGAGCATTTGGGTTATTTCCCATATTTTTGTTACTATAAAAAAAACTGGCAGTCAGGTATGGTGGTTCACAACTATAATCCCAGCACTCAAGAGGCTAAGGCAGGAGGCTAGAGAGTTTGAGGCCAGTTTGGACTACACAGTGAAACTCTGTCTCAAGAACAATTTCAGATAAAATTGGAGTGTGGGGAATGTGTGGTTTTGGGGTCCCAGTCCATGACCAACTGGCTCAGTGGCTCTTGGCCTATGACACATCAAGGCTAGCCCAAGCAAACAGAGGCCCCATCTCCAAAATAACCAAAGCAAAATGAACTGAAGGTGTGGCTGCAATGGTAGAGCACCTGCTTTGCAAATGCAGGGCCCTGAGTTCAAACCCCAGTCCTACAAAAAAAAAATGGTTATTTATTTTTTGTGTAATACTGGAGTTTGAACTCATGACCTTCACCTTGAACCACCCCAGCAGCCCTTTTCTGTAAAGGATTTTTCAAGATAGGGTCTCTCAAACTATTTGCCCAGGCTGGCTTTGATCTGCGATCCTCCTGATCTCTGCCTCCTGAGTAGCTGGGATTACAGGTGTGAGGCAATGGCGCCCAGCTAAGGTGGTTATTTTTACCTAATGTGTGTTTTGTCTCAGTTTATATATTCTTTCTCTCTCTCTCTCTCTCTCTCTCTCTCTCTGTGTGTGTGGTGTGTGGTGTGTTGTGTGTGTGTGTGTGTGTGGTGGTACCAGGGTTTGAAATCAGGGGCTCTGGGTCTCTCAATGTTTGCTAGGGCTGGCCTGGACTTATGCTTCCCAAGTAGCTGGGATGACAGGTGTGCACCACCAAGCCTGGCTTATTTGCTGACATGGGGTCTCTTGAACTTTTTGCCTGGGCTAGGCTTGCCTTGAACCTTGATCCACCTGATCTCTGCCTCATTTTTTTTTTGGTGGTACTGGGGATTGAACTCAGACCCTATTAATGTCGGGAATCAGTAATGCTTGTCTTGTGCTGCAGCCATGCCGTGGTTCACGCAAACATGAGGCCCTGAGTTCAAATCCCAGTACCAACAAAAAGCAAAACCTTTCCATAACCCACACCTACAATTACAGAAGACATGAGGTTGAGATGGGTGCCAGTGGCTTACAGCTGTAATCCTAGCTACTCAGGAGGCAGAGATCAGGAAGACTGTGGCTTGAACCCAGCCTGGGCAAATAGTTCTGGAGACCCTATGGTAAAACCCCATCACAAATAAAAAAGGGATCGTGGAGTGGCTCAAGGTGTAGACCTTGAGTTCAAACCCCAGTATGGGGATGGGGGAGTATATATGAGGTTGAGAGGGAAAGTAAGTTGCAAACTGACACATCGTAGGATATGTTTAATGTAAACTGTTTAAAAATATACACTGTACATTGTTCTCACAGTCAGGTAAGTAGAGACCAGAACAAGACAAGTGCCACCAGGATAAGCTCCCCTCCACTTCCCTTCCACATCCACCTTGCCTCCATCCCTTCGTGTGAGAAAACGTACACACCTGGAAATACACCATCTGAACCTTCCTGACGAGTACAATTCAATGGCACTGAAGTACACTCACATAGCTGATCACCACCATCTACCATCTACCTCCAGATCTTCTGTCACCTCTAACAGAAACTCTGCCCCCATCAAGCTGACCCCTCTCTCTCCCTCCCCTCAGGCCCTGGTAACCTCTGATCCACTGTCTCCTTAAGGCTGGGTGTAGCTTGGGGGGTCAGGGGATGCAAGAGGACCAGCAGAAAGGAAAAGAAGAAGGGAAAAAATGGCATATAGGAAATAAATTGTTGCAACAAATAAAATATAAGCTGTAGCCTGTAATCCCAGCTACTTGGGAGGCTGAGATCAGGAACACACAGTTCGAGGCCAGCCCAGGCAAATAGTTTGTGAGACCCCCATCTCCAAAATAACCAGAGAAAAATGGACTGGCGGTGTGGTTCAAGCAGTAAAGTGCCTGTTTTTCAAGCATGAAGCCCTGAGTCCAAACCCAGTCCCACCAAAAAAACAAACCAAAAAAACACAAACTGGGTGCTGTAACACACACCTGTAGTCCCAGGCCAGAGGATCGAGTGATCCCAGGATTTTGAGGATCAGTCTGAGCAACACAGGGACACCCTGTCTCAAAAATAAATAGCATTAGCCCACTTTTCCCCAGTGCTGGGGATTGAACCCACAGCTGGTGCATGCTAGGCAAGCACTGGAACACTGAGCCACACACATCAGCCCACTGGCACAACTTTAAATAAATATTGTTAAGTATAAACTTAAATATTTAAAAGAAATGTCTAGGAAAAGTGTAAGAAACATTTTTTCAATACAAAATCTTTGAGGCTGGTGTAATGGCCCAAGTGGTAGAGCACCTGCCTAGCAAGCATGAGGCCCTGAATTCAAACCCCAGCACTGCTAAAGAAAGAAAGTGGTAGAGAACTTGTCCCACAAGTACAAAGTCTTGAGTTCAAATCTCAGTACTGCTAAAAAATAAAATCTTTAATCAGGACGTTAAAAATCAAACTTTAAAGCATAAAAGCATAAATATTTAAATCAATGCTATCAGCATTTAATAATTGCTTAAAATTAAATGTAAATATTAAAATCTAATCTGAAATAAATTTTATTTAAATTGAAACATGAGGTAACCTGTAAGTAGGTGTTAAAATCGAAATATTTGTTTTTAAGTATGTAAATAATTGTTTAAAACATAATTTAAGGGCTGGGGTGTGGCTCAAGTGGTACAGCATATTCCTAGCAAGCTCGAGGCACTGAGTACAAATCCCAGTACCAAAAACAGAAGTTCCGATGAGTGCAATGGGTTTCGTTTTTGTGGGAAACTGGAGTTTGAACTCAGGGCTCTGAGCCTGTAAAGCAGGCGTTCTACCCCTTGAGCCACACCTCCAGTCCATTTTGCTCTGGTTATTTTCGAGATGGTGCCGCTCAAACTATTTGCCCAGGCTGGCCTCGAACCTCGAGCCTCCCGACCTGAGCGTCCCAAGTAGCTGGGATTATAGACCTGTCCGACCACACCGGCTATGAGTTCTATTTTAAAAAACAAAATTTAAAAACAGTAGGACCTCAAAATCAAAACGTCAATGATAAGTACGCAAATTAAAGTACTATTTTAACAAGTGGGCGCTCCGGTAAAATCCGGAGCTGTGGTCGCGTACGTACGAGGCCGGCTCAGGCAGCGCCGCGGGCAGCCGGGCCGCCGCGAGGACCCCGCAGGCCAAGATGGCGGCGCCCGTGCGGCAGGCGCGCGGCCTGCTGGGGCTGGCAGCGGCCCTGGCCCCGGGCTCCCGTAGCTACCGTGCGCGGCCGCCCCCCGCGCCGGCGGCCGGGGCCCTGGTGGCCGGACCCGGAGGACCCGCTGACCCCGCGCTGGCAGCTGGGGCCGCGCCACGCCGCCAAGCAGTTCGCGCGGCACGGCGCCGCCTCCGGGGTGGCCCCCGGCTCGCTGTGGCCGTCACCCGAAGAGCTGCGCGAGCTGGAGGCGGAGGAGCGAGAATGGCACCCGAGCTTGGCGGCCATGCAGGAGTCGCTGCGGGTGCAGCAGCTGGCCGCGGAACGGGAGCGGCAGGCCAGGTGCGTGCGTGCGGGGTTTGTGCGCATGCTCTTTGGCTGTAAAACGCAAATTCAGGATAAGTTCTGTAGGCGCTTAGCTGCAATTTTTTTCCGTTTTTGTGGCCCTGGAGTTTTGTACTCAGGACTTTCAGGCTTGCAAAGCAGGCGCCTCTACTGCACCCAACCTCCAGTTCTTTTTCACTGCTTATTTTGGAGATGGGTCTGGAGACCTAGTTGCTGGGGCAGCAGCTGGCCGCGGAACGGGAGCGGCAGGCCAGGTGCGTGCGTGCGGGGTTTGTGCGCATGCTCTTTGGCTGTAAAACGCAAATTCAGGATAAAGTTCTGTAGGCGCTTAGCTGCAATTTTTTTTTCCCGTTTTTGTGGCCCTGGAGTTTGTACTCAGGACTTTCAGGCTTGCAAAGCAGGCGCTCTACTGCACGATCCACACCTCCAGTTCATTTTTCACTGCTTATTTTGGAGATGGGGTCTGGAGACCTAGTTGCTGGGGCTGGCCTCGAACCGTGATCCTCCTTATGTCAGCCTCCCAAGTAGCTAGGATTGATTACAGGTGTTGAGCCACAGGTGCCCGGCGTCATCTGTGTGTCTTTACTGTGTGCAAGGCCAGGCGCTAAGGATATGGCAGAAAACAAAACAGACAAAATCGTTTCAGATGGCGATGGAGGAGCTTAGAAAGATAAAATAGGGTGAAGGGTGGTGCATGCCGGAGGACCTGTCTGGGGAGGCGATGTTTAAGCAGAGTCCTGGCTGACCGGATGTAGTTAAGGGGAAATCTCAGAGTTCCCAATAGAACCAGCAGCTGGTGTAAAGGTCCTGAGGTTGAAACTTGTTAAGAACACCCAGGAGGCCAGGGTGCTGGGCAAGAGGGGGACCTGGAATCTAGGGCAGAAGTCAGATTTGAAGGATTAGGTTTGATGCTAGGTCATCCAGTTGATGCCACTTCCTGGAGATGGGCTAGATCAAGTGCGTTCCTGGTGTTTAACCTTCTTGTCTCCCAACACTCTCATTGTTAAGTTGGGGAAACTGAGGCCTGGGGAAGCGGAGTTAGGTGTCTGAAGTTGGGTTGGTGGTGATCAGTGGAGTCTCCTTTTTCTCTGCCCCTCCCCAGCTGATGACCTTGGCTTCTTTCCAGCTTCTCATTGCTAATTCTTAAAATGGAGCTGAGTGATAGCTATAAATTCATAGCATTGGAGGGAAATGTCCAATCTGTTTTGCCTTCACTTATGTGCCTAGATTTGGACCTGGCACACAGTAGATGCTCCGTGATGTGTTTGGGGGGGGGTGCATACAGCAGGTGCTCAGTGAAGTCTGGAATTGCGGAAGTGAGTGGTTGTATGGTGTATGGACATGGCAGGTGGATGGCTCGGGAGGCAGGTCAGTGAAGTGCTGGGCTGACTTAGCATTGACCCACCTTGTGCTCAAGTTCACACAGGTTAATGTCTTCTGCCTGTCTCTGTACTTTCCTGACAGCTGTGGCGCTGGGAGAGGCAGGCTGTGGGCAAGGCCTGTGGGTGGGATTGGGTGGCGGGCGCTGCCCTCACCACACCTTCCTTCCCCTTCAGGGAGCAGCTCATCGCAGAGCGCATGGCGCAGATGCCGCAGATGATTGAGAACTGGCGGCAGCAGAAGCGGGAGCGCTGGGAGAAGGCTCAGGCAGACAAGGAGAGGAAGGCCCGACTGCAGGCCGAGGCCCAGGAGCGCCTGGGCTACCACGTGGACCCAAGGAGCGCCCGCTTCCAGGAGCTGCTGCAGGACCTAGAGAAACAGGAGCGCAAACGCCTCAAGGAGGAGAAGCAGAGGCAAAAGAAGGAGGCGCGAGCTGCTGCTATGGCTGCTTCTGCGGCCCAGGACCCAGCAGCCTCCGGGGCACCTAGCTCCTGAGCTTTGTTCTTTCCCAATAAAGCCTGATGCCCAACCACCCTGTCCCCCAAATGGCTCTGTATCCTCTCCAGATTCGCCTCCTTGGGCCTCTTGATTTGTTCCCCAACACCTGGGCCTGAGGAATCCCCCACCCAGCTCTGTTCACAATGGGACACTAGGCCTTGCCTCTAACAGGCTTCACGGGGAGAGAAAGGAGGCTGTGTGGGCAGATAATGGAGGAGCAGATGGCAGTGGAGAAGAAGGCTTCTGTTTACCAACATTAATCTCCAGTAATTAGCCAATTACCAGGGGGGAAGTGTAGCCAAAACAGACTGTGGTGATGATAGTGGGGGGTGGGGAGGAGCAGCCCTTTGGAGGCAAAGCTGGGGCAGAGACCCAAGGCCTGGAAAGGAGACAGCCTCCAGTGGGAAATGCTGCCCCAACCCCATCTCCAGGGGCTCCTGGCCCCTCATCTGTTCTCAGGATTCCCATGTCACCTGTGCCCAGCCAGCCCCCAGACCCAGAAGCTGGTGTGGGGAGCCCCAGCAGGCACGCAACATTGTTAGGGCTGGTTTTTAAAACTTTATTCGCTTCAAAACCTTTATCAGAGACACGGTTCTGTTCCTGGGTGGGGCTGGCCTTGGCCTCCCGAGCTGATGTTACCTCTTCCCCAGGCTAGAGGCCAAGGCCATACTGGGGAGGACTTTGGGCCTCTTGAGGCTCACCCCAGATGGAAAAATTTAGGCCACTCCAATGGAGGATCAAAGTTTGGGGCTCCAGCTTCCCCTCATCCTAGAAGAGGGTTGGGCGGGGCAAGGGGGCCCTCAGAGGTGTTTTGGGGGGATGGGAAGCAGCAGCCGCCTCTCCATCTGGCTATAGGGAGCTGGGACAGAGGCCAAGAAGGGCCCATCTGTCACCTCCTAGTCCTGCCAGCAACTTTGAGCACACTGGGCCGGGGAGGAGGCTGGGGACAGCTGTCTGGTTGGGGTCTTCTCACAGAGATGGGAGTGGGGGCTACTTTAGGAGGATGGGAAGCTGGGCTGTTTGTTTTTTTTTAAGGTTTTTGATTTTTTTCCACTTCTTAAATAAACATGAATATATATATATATTCTTTTCTTTTATAAAACTTCTGTGGAGTGGGGATGGGGTGGGGTGGCGGGCAGCCTGGCCTCCCAGTGTCACTCGTCGTCAAAGTTCTGACTCAGGAGGAAGTTGGCAGCCAAGTTCTCGTTTTTTTCACAGGCGAAGTAGGCCTGGATCACAAGGCTCTCCGGAAAGCCCAGGGCCTTCAGCTGTGGGAAGATGGCAGGGCTGAGCAGGAAGGGTTCTGGGGGCTGCCCACCAGCAGGGACACCCCCAGCCAGGCCTCTTACCCTCTCGATAGCTTCTTTCTCCTGTGGTGTCACCTGGATGTAGTTCATCTGCGGGGCTTCCTCACCGATGGCGCCCACCTCCCCCTCCACATCGGAGATGTCTGCCAGCTCCCCAGGGGGCTCGTTTAACATCTGGATGAACTGCTCCTGGTGCCTGCTGATTTGCTGTGGGGAAGGGCAGTGTTCCTTAGTTCTGGTCCCCTTGCCCCAGGTCCCCATCGCAGCACTTGCTTTCACATTCAGTTAGCAAACACTGAGGATGCCTATCGCAGCCAAACACAGCAATGAAGCCATGGAAACAAGCCCTGTGCTGTGGGGCTGAGCCACAGTGGAGAGAGGGGCTGTGAGCAAATAAATGGACCAAGCAACTGAGGGCCTGTGGAATGGGCCCACCAGCCATGGCATAGGGAGAAGAGGGAGGGTTCTGCTTGGCCAGAACAAGCAAGTGCAAAGGCCCTGGGGTGGGCACACAGGACAAACCTCAGAAGACTCACGTAACAAGAACAGCGTAGATAACAGAAGGGGGAGAAGAAGAAATCAAAGAGGAAGGCGGGGGCCAGTTACTTTCTTTCAGTGCAATGGAAAGCCAGGGTAGTGACAGTTCTAACGGGGAAGGCATTGATTTGGGTACCTTTTTTTGGCGGTGTCAGGGATGGAATCCAAGGCATCATGTACTTTGCCACTGAGCTACATAACCAGTCCAGTGTACTTTTTCCTGACACAAGATCTCGCTAGGTAGCCCAAAGTGGCCTTGAACATGTGATTCTCCTGTCTCAGCCTCCCAAATGCTGGGATTACAGAGAGCACCACTTGGTCCCCTGTGCATCTTTTAAAGTCACAAAAGTCACACAGGGACTCAGGAGGTTCTTGATGCCGTTCTCTACTTTTGTGTATGCCTGAAAAAAGTGCTCTTCTACCTATTTGACTTCTGGTGGACCAGAGAACCATGGAAGCAGGGACTCAAGGAAATCCAAACAGAGACAAGGAGGTCCAAGGGAGGGCCTCTTGTGGCATCTCAAAAGCTTAGAAAATACTCTCACAGAGATGTCAAGTCAGTTGTGGAGAAGAGTGGTGTTCAGAGAGGTCTGGGCTGGATACAAGGTCACCACACAGACTGAAGGTCCAGGATGGTTATGGGAGGACTGAGCACAGGTGAAGGACAGAGGAGGTGAGGAGCAGCCAGCAAAGGGCTGTGGTGTGGGGGAGCCATAGATGGCGGAGTCTGGGCTGGGAGAAGTGGATGCCTGGACCCAGAGGAACCTGATACCCTCCTCCAGGCCAGAGCCAGGTGTCAGACATACATCCATCAGCTGCACAACCCCAGTACAATAGCCTGCTTGAAGTTCCAGGTGCCTTTAGCAGGAGGCTGATATGGACAACACCCATACCTCACAAAGTAGGCCAAACAGCAGAGATCAGGAAGGAAGGGGATGGGGTGTCCCTGTCCCGCTTTCTGCTCTTCTATCTGTATGTATATTTTTGGTGGTACTGGGGTTTGAACTTGGGGCCTCACACTTTCTAGGCGGGTGCTCTGGCTGCTTGAACCACTTTGCGAGCATGGTCCTGCTTTCTGGGAAGATAGATTCCTTCACACCCCAGGCTGGGCACCCCTGGGGAAGGGGAAGGGGAAATAGCACCTGACCCCACCTGCAAAAGCTGAGGGTTCTCCTGGCCCAGCTGCTGGAGCAGGGCGGGCAGCAGTGCCGGGTTCTGCTGAATCACCTGCCGCATGTTCTGGAACTGGGGCTGGTCCCGCAGGAACTCCAGGGGGTTATCTACTGTTGGTGGCAGAAAGGGATACAGTCAGAAACCATGAAGGGCTCCCAAGAGGGTTGCCCCGTGCACCTCCCACACTCACCTGCTTCTGTGGCCGGGGACTCAGACACCTGGCTCTCCTGGACAGAACCAGGCTCCGGCTCGGGGCTCCCTGGAATTCCCTGTTGGGGAACCCATTTAGTTGTCCCACAGACTTTCTGAGTCCTCCCTCCTGTGCGCCCAGCCCCGGGCCCTGCCCTCCACAACCCCCTCACTGCTCCCATCCAGCCTCCTGGGGGAAGCCCTCAGTGGCTGTATCCATGACCCAGGGGCCCTTGGGGCAGGCTCTGTTTCCTGGTGTGATACTCTCAAGGCCTCCCTAGAAGGCAGTGAACCCCTCACCGTGAGCAGATACTCCACGGCTCGGTGGGGGTTGTTGTAGCTGGCTCTCAGGGCAGCCACGACCCGCTCCCGCTCGTAGCCCATGGACATGATCTCCGTCAGCATCGTCTCATACTCAGAGCCAGTCACTGTGGAGGGAGCAGCAGAGCCTGCGTCACCAGGGATGGGGAAGGGCAGCTCCCTGGCCCTCCCGCACTCAGACAAGGCCCAACTGACAGCTGGGCTCCCAGTCATCACAGCCTTGGGGACCACCCACCCACCTAGCGTAGAGGCCGCGTCTTCCTCTCTCCCGCTGCTACCTGAAGAGGGAACAGAGCTGCAAATTCAAGAGAGAGAAATCGGACCCTGGCTTCTGGTGGCCTGCCCTCCACCCAGGTGTGTGGGACCACATAGATGGATGCTGGAGGGTGCCAGAATAGGGCCCAAGTGAGGACTACTGTACATTCCCCTCACCCCCACCACTCTGCCTTACCCTGACTCCGGTGATGTCGTGGTTGCTGACTCCTCCAATGGGCTCTTGTCCTCTCTGGTGGTAGGTGGGGATTGGGACATGCCTGAGGCAGGGACAGTTGGGAAGGGTGTGGAGGACTCCGGGGCAGCAGTGGGTGAAACCTCTGGGGGTGCTGAGGTACCCTGGCCAGCTTTGGCCTGTAACAGAAAGAAAAGGGAAAGACTGCCACATTCCTATCAAGTCCCCACATTCTGGGCCCCTCGTGGCCCTGCCCTTGTTCCTGGCTAATCTCTCCTGGGCACACAGGCTCTTTGCCAGCACCCCAGTTAATCCACCCACCTTGGTCACCATGACAACCACAAAGTTCTTTTCATCAATGCGGTAGTCCCTGATGGGGACATCGTCACTCAGGATCTTGCCAGCATAGATGAGCTTCTGTCCAGCCACAGGGAAAGCATCCCGGCCCTTCTCAGCTTCTATCTTCTCCTTCAGTACCTTTACCTGCAGGGACGAAGACAAACAATCATTGCCAAGCCCAATTCTCTCCCATCTCTGGTCTAGGGAAGAGAGGCTCCAAGTCCTCATGGCAGAGCCAAGTACCTGAACTTGAATTCATTCCATCATCCAGACAAGAGACTATATTTACTGAACACCTATTATGTGCTAAGTGCTATTTTAAGACTGAAGCTGTTTTAGTTTAGAGGTGCTGGGGAGGAAAGCCAGGGTCTCGCACATGCTATGCAAAGGCTTTCCCACTGAGCAGTACCCCCAGCCCGCTAAGCTGTTTCATACAGGCCACAGTAGGGCCACCCAACACTGCTCCCATGGAGAAAGCACTAATGTGAGGAGAAAAACAAACATGTATTTCAGATAGCATAAAATACGTTGAAAAATAAAACACAATAAAAGATAAGGGTCTACCCATTGACCCCGATAGTGATAGTAGTCTGTAGAGAAGCTGCTAGCACTGTTTGTAAATGTGTATGTACCATACTTCGCAAACTTTGTAAGTGTATGAAATAGACATCAGTGACTTCATATACTACTTGAGAAAACCAAGGCCCAGAGTGGCTAAGTAACTTGTCCAAAGTTAAACAACTGAGCTGATCAAAAGATCTGAGTGTCTCTTTTTGTACATAAAGTGGATTTCAGGAGCTGGGGGTGTGGTTCAGTGCTAGAGCTCCTGTCTAGCACACACCAAGCCCTAGGTTGATCCCCAGCTCTGCTAAAAAAGAAAAAAAAGTGACTTCAACTTTTCACGGGGTAGTGGTGCCAAAGTACCAAGCACACAGAACTTCAGTATGTTTGAAATAAGTCCAAATTCTCCTTTCAGCTAAAAAACAAAGTCTAAGTTGGAGGAAACAGCCCCAGCCAGTAGTCCCAGGAGGCAGAGGCAGAAGAATGGCTTCAGTCCAGGAGTTTGAGGCCAACCTAGATAACACAGTGAGAACTTCCCCTCTCAAAAAACAAAAACGAGCCAGGCGTGCTGGTGCACACCTGTAATCCCAGTTACCAGGTTGGTAAAGGCAGGAGGATCTTGAGTTCAAGGCCAGCCTGGGCTACTTAGGGAGACACTATCTCAAAAAGAGAGAGGGAAGGAAGGGAGGTAGGGAGAAAGAAGAGAAGAGAAAAGAGAAAAGCACACAAACAAAAAACAAAGTAAAAACCCAAGATGTTTAGGTCGCAGGCTGTCAGACGAAGTAGAACGAATTTGAATGCCATCTCTGCTATCACTTGCTGTGACCGTGGCAAAGTTCCTTAACTCCTAGGTTCCCACATCTATGAATCGGGAAAGGGTCAAGAGTCCCCCAGTGACAAGCCAGTTTTGCAGATTCAGCAAGACGACACTACAGTGCTCAGTGACTGGTGAAGAATAAACGGCCAACAAACACGGACCACCGAAACTATTAAAATTGAGACTATTTATTATCGTTATCATCATCGTCGTCACCCGTCGGCATCTCTTGGGCATCACTGCCAGATTCGGCCACCAAAGACCCGAGCAGACGCCTGCAAAGCTGGAAGCGCTGAGCCCGCGTCCCGCAGAGCGCGGCCCGACGGGGAACACGAGCCTGTCTGTGGCTCCCGCGCCCGGGAAGAGCGCTGACATCTGAGCCGGGGCCTGGCGGGCGCCCCGGGGGTGGGGCCTCACCCAGGGACTGGCCCGGGAGCGGCGCCCGAGCAGTCGGGGGCTGGGCCGGGGACCACCGGGGGGTCCGGGGAAGTCGGGCAGGTTAGGGGGGTGGGGTGGGCCGGGCAACGGCCCGCGCCGTCCTCCCCGTCCCTCCCAATGCGATCCCGGCCTCCCCGCCCCCACCCCTCCCCCGGCACCCGTCGCTCCCGCCCCCGGGCTCCGGCCCGGCCCGCACCGTCTCGTCAGGCTCCATGCGGATCTTGAAAGTCTGCTGCTGCAGAGTTTTGAGCGTGATGGTAACGGCCATGGCGGGGCCCGAGCGACGCGGCGGCCCCGGGATCCTCACACAACATGCAACTCACGCCGCCGCCATCTTAGCGCCCAGCCGCGCCAAGGGCCAAGCACTTCCGGGGCAGGAGGTGCGCGCGCCGGCCACCAGCGCACGTGACCGGCGCGCGTCCCTTTGGTTCCTTATGAGCATGCGCATAAGCACTCACTTGGGCCAGGCATGCGTAGCTAGAACTGCTTTGCGGGACAGGAGGAATTCATACAAGATACTCATCATGCGGCTTCTTGAGTGACGCCATGCTCATTAGCAGTGACGTCATGTGGCCGCGAAATGGCTCCACTTTCACGCCCTTTGTTGATGACGTTTTTCTTGTATTTATCCCGTAAAAAATCTTTGTTCATGCATTGTTTTAAATTAGTTTTATTTTGTCTGGCTACCCTAGCAGTCTGAAAAGTCACCAATTAACAGAAAAAAAAAAATTGTTTGGAAGCGAAGAATCTGGCAGATAACATTTTGTGGCCTCATTTTCAAGGATTATCTGAATTTTGGGAATGAACCTATAATTCTATTCCTGGGTTCTCCCTCCCCCATCTCCCCTGCTTTGTTCCCTTCATTATCCCCCTGCCTGACCCCAAAGGTATTTAATAAAGATGTTAGTGGGGAGAGGGAGGTTAGGAGGGTAAGAAATGGCCCATGTATGCACATGAGAATGAGTTTAAAAAAATAAAAATTAAAAAGATGTTAACTTTGAAGATGTTTATATTGAATGCATTACTCTTCTCTCGGTAATTTTCCCCGGATGTGTCAAATCCTGGAAGTACCTGGGGTTGTCAGGTGGGGCCATAGGTCACCCCCATACACACCAGAAGGGAATGGAAGCATGAGAAGTCAGTTCAAGAGCCAGGGTACCTGGAGGATTATCAGTTGAAGAGGTTGCGTTTGGATGACTAGAGTTGGTGAAGCTGAGCTTGGCCCCCCAGTTCCAACACCCAGAGGAGCGGTGGAAGCAGGGAGGCCAGAGGCAGAGCCCAGGTCCTTATCTCTACCTGCCTCCAGGCCTGCTTTTCTCAGTGTTCCAGGCACCTGAAACCTTCCTTACAGCTGAAGTCCAGGTCTACCTTTTTTCCTAGCAGCACAGATGAAAACCAGGGCTGGGCAAGCACTCTACTGTAGCTTCCTTCTTCCCTTGCCCTAGGATTCACCTCTTTCAAACTCCAATTTAGCCCTGAACACCTTGGGTCCTTGGGCAAGCTACATGTCATCTCTGAACTTAGTTCCTTGAGTTACAAAAAGAATTACTTGGAGCTGGGTGCTGATGGCTCACGCCTGTAATCCTAGCTACTCACAAGGATCATGGTTTGAAGGCAGCCCAGGCAAATAGTTCTGGAGACCCTGTCTCTAAAAAGCCCATCACAAAAAAGGTCTCGGAGTGGCTCAAGGTGTAGGCCCCGAGTTCAAACTCCAGTACAAAAAAAAAAAAAAAAAATTACTTGGGCTGGAAGTGTGGCTCAAGAGGTAGAGCACCTTCTTTGCAAGCACAAAGCCCTGAGTTCAATCCACAGTCCCACCAAAAACAAAATTACCACCCCTGGCTGTTTTGGTTTTAAAACTCCTAGAATACCCTATGGACGCCTGCTACTTAGCAGGCAAGAGGTACATATAGTTAAGTTCTGGACCTCAGTCTCCTCGCCCAAGGGACTGGTACTAGAACCAACTATCAGCTTGGTGCAAGGATCAGGGAATGAATACATTGAATATTCACTTAGGACAGTCATTCTCATACTGGTTTGGGATCACAGGGTATATAAACACCCTATCATTTTGTGGAACACTCAACCAACTCTTTAGCAGCTGAAAAATGAGCTGCCCCCCTAAAAAGGACACCTTTGGTTTCCTGATGTTCATCCTCTCCCAAAAGGAGACACGGGGGGAAGACACAAAACTTAATTTAATAGAAATTTTGTTTGTAGTTCTTACATTCTCAGTGTGAGCTGAGCTACAACCCACTGCCCCACCCAGAAGTGGTCCAGTCCTGGGGCAGGGGAGAGGAAAAGGGAGGACAGGAAGAGCCCCATTCTTCCTCAGTGCTGGGGGGGGCCAGAGATGCCACACCCCTTTCTCCTGCCCCCCTCTGGGCTCCAGGAAGGACAGCAGATAGAATCTCAAGCCTAGGGCTTCTCCTTCACACTCCTGCCCCCAAAGTTGGAGGGTAGTAACTCAGGGATGGGGAGAGAAGGGGAGAGAAAAGGGAAAGATGTTGATTAACAAAGATGAGAGCCAGGGGAGAGGGCTGAAGGAGAATTGAAAACAAAATACCAGTAAAAAAAAAAAAAAGAAAAAAAAAAAAAGAAAGGCGGGGGGAACAAAACTGAACTCCACCCCAAATCTGAACCCGCCTGGAAAAAAAATGAAAGTTCTCGAGTCTCATAGAGACATTATTTGGCGCGGCCGGGCTCTGCAGCACGAGCGCTCAGGCCTCAGTCCAGCCCTGGAGGTGGGTGGCATGGCCTCTACAGCTCGTCCTTGGCCTGGCCAGCAGTATCTTCCTCTTCATCTTCCTCCTTGTCCTCTTCATCATCCTCATCCTCATCTTTGTCTTCCTCATCCTCCTTGTCCTCCGCCTCCTCCTCCTCCTTGCGCTTCTTGTCCTCCTCCTCTTCTTTAAGCCTCTGCTCCTCGTCCTGTTTATCCTTCATCTGCTTTTCTGCTGCCTGTGTGAATGGATGGTGTCCCCTCAGCACCTGGCCCCACCCGTCAGTCCTACCTGTCCATCCCCCAGATCAGAAGGGGATACCTGGCCTCACCTTTGTGACACCCCACGTCTCATTGCCAAATTCCTCTGCATATGCCTCATCGTTGGTGATGAGGAAGTTGTCAAAGATGGTGCCAGACTTGACCTGGGGGATGAATGGAAGAAGTGGTCAGAGGTGAGAGCTTAGATGCTCTGGCTCTGAACAGGAACCTGTAGTTCCTCCAACCACTGCACATTGTTGCAGTGTCCGCATTTGTCAAGAAGGATATGTGGTAAAAAAAAAAAAAAAAGAAAAAGAAGGTATGGCCTGGCATGGTGAAGCCAGGTGTGGTGGTGTCTACCTGTAATCCCAGTCCTTGGGAGGCTGAGGCACAAGGATCTCCAGTTCCAGAGCAGCCTGGGCTACCCGGAGAGACCACCCTCCCCTCCAAAAAATGAGTGTGCTGACACTGTAGTTCAAAAGACAAAGGACTGTGGGGCCATACTGCTGGAACTCAAACCCCAGATGTCATTTCTTGCCTGTAAATGGGGGACTAACTTGTGGGTGGGATTAAAGAAAAAAAAAAGAAAAAGAAAAAAGATGGGGACTTGCTCCCTTCTTCAGATCTTTTTTGGGTACCTTAATGTGTGCCAGGAACTGTCCTGACTGCAGAAAGTAACAATGACAAAAAAAAGTGTCCACTACCTTTTTAGCTAGTCCACCTGTAGCCGGATGAGTGATTTGTGGGGAAGTACCCGGCCACCTAGTAAGGCCCTCGAAGCGGGCGCTCGGAGGGCTCCGAGACAAACCCGAGACACTTCACGAAATGTGCCACTGTTGCCCAGCAAATGGAAAGCCAGGGGTTCAATCCCCAGTACCACAGGAAAAAAAATTCTAAAAGTCATACTTGCCCGGGGCTGAAGCCTATGCTGTCCCTCCTTCTCTCCAGGACTCTTGGGGGACCCTGACTCCTTGATTCTCTTAGGGTTCCTTGTCTTTCCTGTGTCTCACCTGCCAGAGATCCAGGCCCAGCACAGCAAAGTTGTCATAAGCATAGATACTGGCATCTGGGAAGTACTCAGGGTTGTCAATTTCAGGGTGGATCCAGGTGCCCTTGTAATCGGGGTTGTCAATTTGCCGTGGCTTCCACTCGCCCTGCAAAACAGAAAAGAGCCAGGTAAGTGGAGATGACCGAGCCCTAGCTCACCTTGCTTTTGTTTTTGCAACATGGTACCAATCTGGGCCCTGAGAGTGCTGGGTAAGCCCTCTCGCACTGAGCTGCACCCCAGCCCCCAAGCTCACCTTGTACTCAGGGTTTTGAATCACTGGTGGTTCCCACTCTCCATCCATCTCTTCATCCCAGTCCTCTGGCTTCTTAGCATCAGGATCAGGGATGTGTTCTGGCTTGTCCCAGTCCTAAGGGACACAAGGTGGTCAGGGCAGGCCAGTGCCCTCCATACTCTCTGTGGTAAGCAGCGGAAAGCCCCTGCACAAACACCAACCTCAGGTTTGGAATCTGTGGGGTCATCAATCTTGGCGCGCTCATCCCAGTCTTCTGGCTTGACAGCATCAGGATCCTTTATCTTCTTGGGGGGCAGGAAGTCCCAATCGTCCTCCAAGGAGCCGGACTCCACTTGGCTGTTGTCAATCTTCACCTCATAGGTGTTGTCAGGCCGGACAATCAGTGTGTACAGGTGTGTGAATTCATCATCCTGAGAAAGGAAGGAGGTGAGTGGCCCCGCCCACTAGGCTGGCCTGTGGGCCTCCCAAGACAGCCATTTACAGCCAACCCCAGGCACACCTTGCACCGGATGTCCTTGTTGATTAGCACGTTCTTGCCCTTATAGTTGAAAATGACATGAACCTTCTTGGTGCCAGGGCCACAGATGTCCGGTCCTAGGTTGAAAGAAAATCCCGGTAAGAGTCACAGGCTTCTCACCACTGGGAACCCAGTCCCTCTTTATCAAAGGAAGTGGGGTTTCTTTCTCGCTTTTTTTTTTTTTTTGGGCGGGGGGGGGTGGTATTTTGAGACAAGGTCTTATTGCTACATAGCCCAGACTGGCGTGGTACTCCCTGTGCTCCAGCCCCAGCCCCCAGAACGCTGATATTACAAGTGTGCACCACCACACCCAGCCAAGAAGACCTGATTCTTAAACTCAGGTCTGTCCAAGATGAAAACATAAGATCCCTGAGTATGTCCTTAAAGGGCTCTGCACAGACCCTTTAAAATCAAAAACACTGGCCTTCTAGAACTCATTACTCTCCTTTGTAAACTTACCAGACACATAGGAAGGATCACACAAAAGAGCTACAGTAATACATTAAATGCCTAACTGCAACCTAACCCCTTATCGATGTCTCCCAAACTAAAGCCTGATTAAAGCGCTTTCTCTAGTCTCAAGACTGCCTGTCTGGTTACAAGGAGTCCTCAGGGTCTCAGACTCTCCACCCTCCAACTAAAGGGCCAGAACTCAGCACAGGGGTGGGGCCTCTCACCGAACATGATGTTATATTCCGAGTCTCCGTGCATGTCCTTCTGGTCCAAACTACTCGGAAACAGCTTCACGTAGCCGCCCCCACAGTCAATGTTCTGCTCATGCTTCACGGTGAATTGCACCACCAGCGTCTGGCCCTTGTTGCTGAAAGGCTCAAATCTTGCCGACAGGGCATAAAAGCGGGCATCCTGGCTAGTTTGCAGTCCTGAGATGGGAAACGAGTGTGGTCACCATGGCGTTTTGATCCTGATACCCTAGACCTCCAAGGGACACAGATGACCTCCCCTTCCTTCCTCCACCTGGGGAATACCCAGGCTATGCTGAGTACTGCCAGGAAGTCCTCACGAGTCTGAGCACCCACTCCTTGGCTCTTTCTTACCTTTATCCTTCTCCTGGTCACCATAGAACTTGCCGGAACTGAGGACGAATTTGCCAAAATCTGACTTGTGTTTGGATTCGATCCAGCGGGAGGTCCAATCATCTAGGGGGTCAGACGGGCAGGTCAGCGCGGCCTGGCTGATCCCCTCCACCCAACATCTGCCAGGAACCACCAACTGCTAGGACCAGGGAAGGAGATCCCCCCGACTCTCCCTACCCCAACCTCTAGCTTGACACCTTGTGTGGTTTAAGAGATTCTCGGGCGAACCCTAACTCCCACCGCGGGAGGCCGCTGTCTTCCACTCTCCCCAGGGACGCAGAACAGGAATCGCCCGCGGCTCTAGTCCCCAAGGCCTGCGGTGTTGGCCCTCTAAGCGGTAATTACAGACAAGACAGATCTGGACTGAGGGGCCGGCCGCGCGCCGTTGAGGCGGCCTCGAGGCGAGTCCAAGCGTTACCTCCGTCCAGAAACTGCTCCTTGAAGTACACGGCGGGCTCAGCGACGGCCAGGCCGAGAAGGCCGAGCAGCAGCGGCACGGGTAGCAGCATGGCGGGCCGAGGGGGCGGCGGCGCGCGGGCCCTTTAAAACGATCCTCCAGCAGCGGCTCTGCAGTACGGACAGACGCTGCCGCCGGCTACTCGTTTTTATATCCGCCCTCCTCTCACACCAACCTGACCCGGCCTTTGAGCCCGTCCCCAAGTCTTATCATTGGTCTACAGCCACAACTCTCCCTTCCCATTGGACACTTCTCAGCTCAGCACGTTAGACTGTGCCTCGGAACGCTGGGATCCCAGATGGCCGATTTCTATTGGTCGCACCACTGGCCAATGAGGGTCGACCACGCGTTGTGGGGGACGCCCCCAGGTGGGGTTGGGGCCGCAAGCCCCTCAGGCCAAGTCATGTGACCAGGCCTCAGCCCAACCCCGCCCTCGCCCTCACGAGCCTCTCCTCATCTGGTCGTTTAAAGAACCCGCGCGAATGCGGGTGTCACCACGAGCTGCCGGGACCCTGCCCCAGGTTCGCCCCTCCCCGCATCCCCTCTGCATGAAGGAGTGAGCAAGGCTTTCCCAGTCATTTTCTACCTTTTGGGAAACGCCCACCCAGACGCGGATCTCTCTCCGCTCAGGATAGGCAGAGGGCACACCAGAGCTCGGGGGCTGGGACCCCAGGGGGCTTCTCTGCACCCTGGTACCACAGCCATGCCGGCCAGTCTGGGGAGTGCCAGCTTTCTCCTCCTCATGTAGCCTCTCTGAAGTCACAGGATGGTGGCGCGGGGGGGGACCCTGGTCAGATGCTACTTTTAGGGCTGTCCTCAGGACAGGGGGGAAACACAGACGGCTCAGAGATGTGACTGTAGGTGGTGGCTCCTGGGGTGGCAGGCAGGGTTACTCCCTAGCTGCAGCCTCTCAGCTCAGCGTTTACTCTCTGAGCTGGTAAGTGAAAGGGGTCGCAGCTTTGTGGTCTCCCACAAACGGCCTGGCTTTTGCAATTAAACGGCTATATACAGACGGCAGGGGGTTCCGTTTGGGGAGAAGGAAAGAATGCAGATGGCTGTGGAGATAGGACCCTCAGAGAGATAAGACCCCTAGATCTGGACTCCTCCTAAGTCTCTTTAAGACACATATGACAGGTCAACTCCCTACCCCTACCCCGCTGCTATGAGAAGGAGGAAGAAGAACTAGGGAGTTTCCAAACTGAATGGGTACTGGACCTGGGAAGACCGGAGTAAACTGCGATGGGGAGGGGATGCATCCTAGGGAGTGGGCTAGTGGTGAGGACTCAGAAAAGGGAAGCTGAGGCTATGCTCCCTCCCTCATTTGGTATTGCCCCACCTGGGCCCCTCAGTAAGATCCCCACGGCTAGAATGACTCTCCCACTCTCCCCACCATTCTTGCACATAGGCTTGGTGTTTTCTGCTGGAGGCTGGATACTGCCTATCCCTGTACAGCACCTAGCACAGAACAAGCTTTAAAAGAACTTGCTGCAGAGCTCAAAGCCCAATGCCACCCAAAAAAAAGGGAAAAACAAACATCTGCTGCACGAGCCTGATGTTGTATACCTGCTGGGAGGCTGAGACAGGAGGATCTCGAGTTCCAGGCCAGTCTAGGTCACACAGTGAGATCCCTGTCTCAAAAATAAACAAAATAAATAGGAAGGGCATAGTGGTGTCATCCCAGCTACTCAAGAGGCAGAAGTAGGAGAATCCAGGTTTGAGGCTGGACCTGGCAAAAGCAGGAAACCCCATCTGAAAAACAAACTGAAAGCAAAAAGATTGGGAGCATGGCTCAAGTGGTAAAGCAAGGCCTTCAGTTTCAATCCCCAGTATGACCTGGCATGTATATGTGTGTGTGTGTGTGTGTGTGCGTGTGTAAATATATGCACAAATACATTCATACATATCCATATGCAAATATATACATATAAATAAGTGTATATATCTTACTTGATTTATACTTGGAAGGAGTCTTGTGGGAATTAAATAAAAACAGAAAAAGCGCTTTGAGGCTGAAGAGAGAAGGGACTTTGAAGGACACATCACTGATAGGAGACCACCAGAGGGTTAGAATTGGGGAATATTAGTGACCACATGTTACATGCTCAAATAATAATTTTTTTTTTCTTTTTCAGTGGAACTGGGGTTTGAACTCAGGGCTTCACATTTACAAAGCAGGCACTCTACCACTTGAGCCACACCTCCAGTCTGGTTTACTCTGGTTATTTTGGAGATGGGGGCTCAAGAACTATTTTCCTGGGCTGACCTTGAACCTCAATCCTCCCAATTTCAGTCTCCCAAGTGGCTAGGATTATAGACATGGACCACCAGCACCTGTTTTTCTTTCTTTTTCTTTTCTTCCTTTCTGATGAGAATGGAACCCAACGTCTCTTGCTTTGCTATGCAGGCCCTCTACCACAGAGCTATATCCCCAACCCTCTAATTGTGATGTTAAATCAGTAAATGTTTTTGGCTTATAAGAGTGCCTCAGTGCTGAGGATTTAGCTCTGTGGTAGAGCACATGCTTAATATAGGTGAGGCCCTGGGTTCCATCTCCAGCACCACACACAAAAAGTGCCTGACACATAGGACAACCATCCACACTCAAATTAGTATTACGTACATATGTGGGCACTGTATGACTTCTCACAATAACCTGAGGTCATGTCTTTTTTTTTTTTGGTGGTACTGGGGTTTGAACTCAGGGCCTGGTACTTGCTAGTCAGTCCACTTGAGCCACTCTGTGGTTTTTTTCTTTGTTTGTGTTTTGAGATAGGTTCTCTCTCACTATTTGCCTGGGCTGACTGGAACCTTTATCTTCCTAATCCCTGCCTCTGGAGTAGCTAGGAGTATAGGTATGAGCCACCAGCACCTGACTTGCGGTCATAGCATTTCCACCAGGGCAAAGACACTGAGCACAGAAACAGCAATTCAGTTGAGTAATATAAATAGCAGGTTTGGGATTAGAGACAACCTGTGTTCCAGGGCTCAGTGCACACAGCAAAGTGTGTGCTTAGCATTTGCAAGGACCTCGGTTACCTACCCAGCACCACATTAAAAAGAAAGCAAAAGCTGGGCATAGTGGTACATGCCTATAATCCCAGCACTCGGGAGACTGAGGCAGGAGGATGGAAAGTTCAAGGCCAACCTGGGCTACATAATGAGACCCTGATTTTAAAAAAAGAAAAAAAAAATAGTCACTTCTCATAAGAGACTATTGGTCATCTGAAATGCAGCTGGCCCCAATGAAATATGCTGTAAGTGTAAAACACAATTCAGACTTTGAAGTCTTAATATGAAAAAAATAGCTCAAAATATTTCATTAGTTATATTTATATTAAGAGTTGGCTGAAAAAATAATATCTGGCCAGGTGCAGGTGACCTGTAATCCTAGCTACTCAGGAGGCAGAGATCATGAGAATCGAAGTTTGAAGCCAGCCCTTGGCAAATAGTTCTCCAGTCCCTATCTCGAAAAAACCATCACAAAATAAAGGGCTGGTGGAGTGGCTCAATGTGTAGGCCCCGAGTTCAAACCCCAGTACCACAAAAATACTAATAATGATAGACATTTAGGTTAAGGAAATGTCATCCATTTCCATTTTATTATTATTATTATTATTATTATTTTGGTGTTTGTGATAATCCCACTTCATTCTGCCAGTGAGCTACACTCCCAGCCCTGCGCATTTCTTTTCTCTCTTTTTCTTTTTTGGGCACAACTGGGGATTTCCTGGTAGGTGGAGACCGCCCATAGCCCCCTTATTTGCTTATTTATTGAGACAGAACCTTGCTGTATAGCTCAGGCTGGGTTAGAAAAAGATGTTCCTGCCTCAGCCTCCCATGTGCTGGGATTACAGTTGTGGACCGCCATTCCTGGCCCCATTTCCTTTTTTAATGTTGGTACTAGAATTTTTTTATGGAGGAAGGATGGGCAGTTGTGTGTCCCAGCAGCAAATCCCTGAGTTTGATATCCAGCAAGGCAAAAACAAAAGGAGCAACCACAATAACAAAATTGCTGTAGCTCACAGGTCTGTGCATGCTTCTATTTTATTTTTTACTGAATTCTGCATAATTCTGTTAGTTGATCAGTCTCTCCTATGGTGCTAATCTCTGTAACCTGTTCCCCACTAAAGCATGAAGACAGAGCAACGTTTACATGACTGAAATGACCCAAAGACCTATGTAGGGCTCACAGTCTCTAAACACTTCAAAAATCACTGTGCTAACAAGCACAATTCCCTTTTTAATGGTCTGAAATGTAACAAGTCACCCTTACTTATCCAAGGTCAAGATTCCAAATCTGAACTAACCTAGATCTGTGACAGAAGGGGAAAACTTACTTCTAGGAAACAGATTGCTCTGATGAGGAGCAGGTAGAAACTTCATTTTTTGAGACAGGGTCTTGCCTCAGTCTCCCAAGTACTGCGATTACAGGCATGTACCACCACACCCTACTCACTACTACAAAAAAAATTTTAATCACATGTATGTCTTGAGTTACATCTCTATAGGGCATCAACTTATCTAGACTATGCCTTATTGCCCCGATACTGATCTGAAAGCACAGGGAGGGGTGGGATCTGGAGGGATTATAATTTCTGACCCCATTCCCTCCAACTCCCTGTAGAACGTTGAGTCATATCATCCTCTGAGCCTCAGTTTTCTCATCTGTAAAATGGAGTTCTACCGGTATAGGCAAAAGTTTTTGGGAAAAATGAAATAATACACATGGAGCACTCTGTGCAGGTTGGAGGGTACTACTAGTAGGCGAGTCCCTCTTACTTTTATAAATGGGGATGGTCACAACCCAGCCTCCCTTTCAAATTTTTATTTAATTAATTTAATTATTTTTGCAGTACTGGGGCTTGAACTCTGGGCCTACACCTTGAGCCACTCCGCCAACCCTTTTTTGTGTTGGGTTTTTTAGAGATAGGATCTTGTGAACTATTTGCCTGGGCTGGCTTAGAACCTCAATCCTCCTGATCTCTGCATCCTGAGTAGCTAGGATTACAGGCGTGCACCACCGGCGCCCGGCTCCCTTTCAAAATTTAAAAATGGTTGATATCAGCAGAATGGCCATCTCTGGAACTCACTAACCACCGTCCCTCCCAGTACAAGAAAGAATCCTAGGTCTGAAGGGTTCGGAACCCCAAAGAGGTTAAGTCCAAGGTCACACAGCCTGTTGGTGGTGTGGCTGCACGAAACTCAAAACGAACCTGTTTCTGCCCTTCGAGTCATCAGTTTTACCTCGTTTGTCAACCAAAAGCCACTGGTCAGTCCACGGAGGAGGTGCGACCTGAATCCTTTCTAGCCTTTAAACCTAGTTGACACGCTCAAGAGGGCGACGCTCAGGGCCCAGCACAAGGCTCCGCCACACTAAACATGGCGGCGCACGCTCCGGGCGCTGTTTCCGGTTCCGGTTTCCCAGGCTCGCGCCCGACCACGCTGTGCGTGCTGGGAGCAGCCATGGCGGATGGTCCTGTAACTGAACTGCTGCTGCGCCGGCTTGAGGCAGCGGATGGTGGCCTGGACAGTGCGGAGCTGGCCGCGCAGCTGAACGTGGATCACCAGGCGGTGGTGGGCGCCGTGAAGAGCCTACAGGCCCTAGGCGAGGTGAGCCAGACCCAGGGCCGTCTCGCTTTTGCACCTGGAGCCCCCTTTCTGGGAGAGCCCTGTCTCCTGGCCAATCAGGAGGGACCTGTCTCCTCAGGTCCAGCTGGGGGGTAATTGTGTGCAAGTCCAGCCCTAGATGCACAGCGGGGAGGTCTAGAACGAATGAGTTTTGTGGCGCAATGATGATCCTCAAGCAATAAACGTATGTTGAGGAATGGTCAGTATGGTGGGGGGTGGTAGGGATGCTACTGTGGTGGACAGGAAGACGTGCTTGCTTCCATAAAGGAGGTTGCAATCTGATAAGGAGCTGCTCAAATGACCAGAATGATGGGAGAAGCACTAGGAGCACTGAGCTGACGGCTGACCCCTACTTGGGGGTCAGAGAGAGCAGCACGGTGATGACAGCTGAGTTGGGTCTGCGCCATGCGGGGGTGGGGGTGGGGGGGAGTCACTCAGAAAGGTTAAGCAACTTTCCCAGGGTCACACAGTGAGTAAGGTGCCAAGCTGGGATTGGAAGAAAACAGGGAGTTGGTATCTAGGGGCCCCTCCCGCGTAGCCTTATCTTTGTCTTCTATCAAGTGGCCAGAGATATCATCATTACCAGAATTTCTTTAAGTCTTTATCTCACAGGGGTCATGGGGAACCATAGTAGGAATTGAAGCCTGTCAAGTATGTTTGGTTTCTATACTACCTTTGGGAAGGATTGACAGAGGCAAGACTAGAGGCAAGGAGATGATGGTAAAGGTTGGCACATCTCCAAGCTAGAGGGTATGACATTTGGCTGTGCTCCCACAGGGGGAGCACATATGAAGCCCTGCCTTGTGACGTGGGCAACGAGAGGATGATGGAGATATAGGAGAAGGGTTCTGAGGGGCTTGTGGGCCTCCCAAGAAGTTGGGTCCCTGAGAGTAGGATCTGGGCTGTTTGTCTAGCCCAAGTTCCATGCCTACCCTGGTCTCAGTGTTACTTGTCCAATCCTTGCCTTAATTGTAGGATGATGACATTGTTATTATCCCCATATTGCAAGAAATGACAAATGATGCTTAACATGGGTAAGTAACTTGGACAGTATCACTAGTCAGACTGGTGAACCTGGATTTGAAATTAGGAATGCAGTTTGCACAGCCCCAGGTCCTCTGTACAGTGGAGTTCAAACCTCAGTACTGGCCAGGCGCTGGTGGCTCATGCCTTTAATCCTAGCTACTTAGGATTTAGAGATCAGGAGGATCTTGGTTTGAAGCCAGCTCCTGCAAACAGTTTTCGAGAGCCTATCTTGAAAATATCCACCAGAAAACAGGGCTGGTGGAGTGGGTCAAAGTAGAGCACCTGCCCAGCAAGTGTGAGGCCCAGAGTTCAAGCCCAGTACTGCCAAAATTAATAAATTTTTTAAATTACCCAATATAAAAAGGCTGGTTGAGTGTCTGAACCAGTAGAGCACCTGCCTAGCAGGCCTGAGGCCCTGCATTCAAACTTCAGTACCACCAAAAAAAAAACCACCAAATACAAGCAAAAGGACTGAGGATGTAGTCCAGCGGTAGAATGCATACTGAGCATGCATGAGACCTGCATTCCATCCCCTCCTAAAAATCTTGTCGTCTGCTCAGTGATCTCGGTCACATGAAAAACTTGGCAATGGGACGTCCTCCCCAAGAGGTCACTGGGCTGGGAAGCAAGACACCTAGAATGTGAAGCAGTTCTGGAAGATGCCTTGTGCATGTCCCGCTCAGTGCTGTGGCACACAAGTCAGGCTCTGAATCCCACCCCACCTCTGTCCCCATTACCCCACAGGTCATCGAGGCTGAGCTTTGCTCCACCAAACGCTGGGAGCTGACCACTGAGGGAGAGGAGATTGCCCGGGAAGGCAGCCATGAGGCCCGTGTGTTCTTCAGCGTGCCCCCAGAAGGCCTGGCACAGAGCGAGCTCATGGTAGGGGCAGGGCAGGGCCTGGGGAGAAGGGGTGAAGGTGGCTGTTGCACAGCCCTCACTGCCGACTCACTCCCCCAGCGCATGCCCAGTGGCAAGGTGGGCTTCAGTAAGGCCATGTCTAGCAAATGGATCCGTGTGGACAAGAGTGCGGCGGATGGGCCCCGGGTGTTCCGAGTGGTGAGTCCCTGCAGATCCGCGGGTGGGCAAGTGAGATGGCACATGGGCCCATGGCCCTCACAGCCCTGGTCACCACAGGTGGACAGCGTGGAGGACGAGGTGCAGCGGCGGCTTCAGCTGGTCCAGCGGGGGCAGGCAGAAAAGTTGGCTGAGAAGGAAAGAAGCGAGCTCAGGAAGCGGAAGCTGCTGACTGAAGTGTAAGTGGCCTCAATGCCAGGCCTAGGTCCCCTTCACCTGGGTAGCACTAAGGAGATGTCAGTCTACGTCCCCCCTTTACTCATGGTTGTCAAGTGTGACCCCAGGGCCTTCGTTCATGCTGCACCTTCTGCCAAGAACTATCTTCCTGTGGGTCTTCCAGCACAGTGCTCCATTAAGGCCTGTCCACGTTCACCTTAAATAAACTACCCTTGAGCCAGGCATAGTGACGCATGCCTACAATCCCAGCACTTCAGAGGCAGAGATCAGGAGGATTGCAGTTCAAAGCCACACTGGGCAAACAGTTCTGTGAGAACCTATCTCAAAAAAACTCAACACAGAAAGGGCAAGTGGAGTGGCTTAAGGTGTAGGCCCTGAGTTCAAGCCCCAGTTCTGGGAAAAAATCCCAAAAACAGAGAAGCCACCCTGACGCTTCCTGCCCTATCCTGGTCTCTCTGCCTCCTGCCCTGTTTGTTACCCTCACATTCCGTAGTACTGCCTGAAGTTGGATGGCTCCAAGGGCCTGCTTGCCAGGGGCTCTATTCTTCTCAGACCAATGTCTTCTTGTAGCAAAGTGTGCTAGAGAGCACAGACTGCACCTAGGCTGCTCAGCTAAAAGTCTAGGCTCTGCCTATCATCCCAGCTACTTGGGAGTCACAGACTAGCAGGCTTGCAGTTCAAGACCAGCCCAGGCAAAAAGTTAGTGAGACCCCCCCCATCTCAAACAGTAAGTCAGGCATAGTGATTCATGCTTATCATCCCAGCTATTTGAGAGATGCTGGTAGGAGGATGGCCTAAGGCTGACCTCGGGCAAAAATGCCAAACCCTATCTGAAAACTACTAATGCAAAAATGCAAGGTTTTTGAGTTCAAATCCTAGTACTGCCCCACCTCCCTAAAAAGGTCTGAGTTCTGTTACTTGATGATATTGTTCAAGTCTCCTGGCCTTTTCCTGCCTCAGTTTCCTTGTCTGAGTAACTCCCCCTTCTCCTAGGGTTGTGGGGTGACTTCAGTATGCAGAATCAGGAGCAGAATACTGTTCTCAATGAACCCTGGCATCCATTATGCTCTCAGTGTTTGTTGAATGAGTATATGAGTGAACACAGAGAGATAGACGGTGGCCATGTGAGAGAATTTCAGATGATAACAGAAAAAACAAAATAAAGTAGAGTGACTTGGTGGGTGGTGCTGACGTCCGCATCTGATGGGAGAGCTGAGGAAGCCTCTCAAGGTGACAGCAACATCCCTTCTGCTCCTTTGGCCACAGGACCCTGAAGACCTACTGGGTGAGAAAGGGCAAGGCCTTCAGCACCAGCGTCTCCAAGCAGGAGGCAGAGCTGAGCCCAGAGATGATCTCCAGGTAGTGCAGATCCCAGGAAGGTGGCCATTGGGGGTTGCAGGAGGACTGGGCAGCCCTCAGCAGGTCCATGCAACCCACCCCCTACAGTGGCTCCTGGCGGGACCGACCCTTCAAGCCATACAACTTCCTGGCCCGTGGCATGCTCCCTGACAGTGGCCACCTGCACCCCTTGCTCAAGGTCCGCTCCCAGTTCCGTCAGATCTTCCTGGAGATGGGGTGAGCACAGGGCCTGGGTGGGTGCGGTGCTACACAGCCTCTGGGCACAGGCAGGGCAGTCAGGCGTGTTTCCTACCAGGTTCACCGAGATGCCGACCGACAACTTTATCGAGAGCTCCTTCTGGAACTTTGACGCGCTCTTCCAGCCCCAGCAGCACCCAGCACGGGACCAGCATGACACCTTCTTCCTGCGAGGTGGGTCGGCCTCAGGCCTGCCCAGAGGACGGCGGAGGTGCTGGGCCTGTCCAGAACCTTTAGAGCGCCTACCACACATTTTGTAAAATGAGAACTATCCTCACCCTGGCCCACTAGTCCTTGGTAGCTGGTCCCATCAGCCTCTGAGATCTCCAGTTTCCTTGAGGCATGCCAGCCGGTACCTGCCTTTGGGCCTTTGTCCTGAATTCTATGTGGATAACTGTTTTGTCTCAGATCTTTTTAAAGGATCTAGTTAAGCTCAGTGGTACAGTGTTTGCCTAGTGTGTTCATATCCTGAATTTCATCAGCAAGTGCTCTCTGATCCCTCATTCATGGCCATGTCTCTCTGTTAACATCCAAGTCAAGGCCACAAAGGGGACAGAAGTTCTTGGTCTGGGGAGACCAGCATCATGGTGGGGACAATGTCTGTTAAATCCTGAGCCATCTGTGTAGTGGGATAGACAGTGGCAAATGCCACAGGGGACACTAGTGTGTGTCTTTCTGTGTGCGTGTGCACAGAGGGTTGCCAGGTGTCTTGTCAATTTAAAACAAAAATGGGAGGTGGGGAAGGAGGCATATTTGGAAAGTGAAAGCTCCAAGCAGAGGGCGTGGCCTGTGCAAAGGTCCTGAGGCTGGAATGAGCCTTGTGTGCTCAGCTAGAGAGGAATGGGACTGACTCAGGTGCCAGTCACCCTTGGCTGCCACTGTACATGTTGCTGCCTCAGTTTACCTCCCTGCTTGAGAAATGTTTACTGAAGGACTGGAGTGTGGCTCAGGTGGTGCAAGACCCAGAGTTCAAACCCCAGTGCCACCCCACCCCCCCAAAAAAAGTTCACTAACTGACCAGATAATGCTGTGTTGTGTGCAGATCCAGCTGAGGCCCTGCAGCTCCCAATGGACTATGTGCATCGGGTGAAGCGGACCCACTCCCAGGGTGGCTACGGCTCACAGGGGTGAGGAGGGTCCTGGGTTCAGGCCAGGGAGGGGAAGGAGGTAATGGGGCTACTGACCCTGGTGCAACTGCCCACCTGTCTTTTCTCCTTAAGGTACAAGTACAGCTGGAAACTGGATGAGGCCCGGAAAAACCTGCTACGCACACACACCACAGCTGCCAGTGCTCGTGCCCTCTACCGCCTCGCCCAGAAGGTGCAGCTCGGCCTGGGCAGGGGGTGGCTGGCCAGTGCTGTCCTCCAGACCTTCTGACCCATGCCTGGTCCGGGCATGGCCTGGCTGTCACCCTCCTCAGAAGCCCTTTGTGCCGACCAAGTACTTCTCCATTGACCGTGTGTTCCGGAATGAGACCCTGGACGCCACACACCTGGCTGAGTTCCACCAAATTGAGGGCGTGGTGGCTGACCATGGGCTCACCCTGGGCCACCTCATGGGTGTCCTACGGGAGTTCTTTACCAAGCTGGGTGAGCAGGCCAGCTGGGCTGAGACAGGCAGGTGGTCTGGGGACACTGGGAGGCTGCCCGGGTCACCAGCCTGCTTTCTCCTGCCTCTCCAGGGATCACTCAGCTGCGTTTCAAGCCAGCCTACAACCCGTACACCGAGCCCAGCATGGAGGTGTTCAGCTACCACCAAGGTCAGGGGGCGGTGCTGGGTGTGGATGGAGATCTGAGGGACCCCACGGCTTGGTTTGGGTTCCCCCACTCCTAGGCCTGTATACCGTCTCCCCACCATGCTCCGCACCCCACACACGTGCCTCCCTGTTCTCCCCATCTGCCCCGCAGGTCTGAAGAAGTGGGTGGAAGTTGGGAACTCTGGGCTCTTCCGCCCGGAGATGCTCCTGCCCATGGGGCTTCCCGAGAATGTGTCTGTCATTGCATGGGGCCTCTCCTTGGAGCGGTGAGTGCCAGGCAGGAAGTCGGGGCTCTGTTCATTCACTCGTTCATTCATCTGGCAAAAGCCCCCTTTGTGGTCCTGGTCCTCTATGTGAACACTACAGCACACAGCCATACCACCGTGAAGCCTGGGTCCTATGGAGCCAGAGGATAACTAGCAGGACCAATGAGTAAAGCAGTAAATAAAGTTCAGAATGTGTCCAAAGGCAGGAGGCACTGTGGACAAGACAAAGTAGGGCTGAGGAAGACTAGGTGGTCAGGGAGGGCTTCACGGAGGAGGTGGTACCTGAGTAGAGTGGAAGTAGATGGAGTTAGGATGTTTTGGAAGAGTGTTCCAGGTAGAGGGCACAGCCAGTGCTGAAGCCCTGAGGCTGGACTGGGCCTGGTGTGTTTGGAGAGCAGCAGGGAGGCCAGGTTGACTTGAGGGAGGGGAGTGAGGGTATGACTGGGAGGAGATGAGGACAGAGAGGTGATTGGGCCTTGTGGACCATGGGAAGGACTGTGGCTTTCCCTGGGAAGAAGTTGGGAGCCTCCAGAGGGGTCCTGAGCAAAGGGGAATGCGACCTGACTTGACATGACACTCGCTTCCCTACCAGCCCGACGATGATTAAGTACGGCATCAACAACATCCGGGAGCTGGTGGGCCACAAGGTGAACCTGCAGATGGTGTACGACAGTCCCCTGTGCCGCCTGGACTACGAGCCAAGGCCCCCGCAGACGCAGGAGGCTGCGTGACATGGCCCAGCCCCCGAGTGCCTGTGCACCCTGCACCAGTGACCCCCTTATTTATGAGGCCTCTGTGAGGCCAGCCCCTCCCGCTGCCCCACCCACATCAGGGTGGGGGAGAGTCCTTCTGCTGGCCTAACTATGGGGTGGCCACATAGGCCCTGCAGGCCAGCTGCTGTCAAATAAAGTGGGCAGTTGCCCTTACTAGAGCCTTTCCTTAGGGGCCCCAGAGGGTCCTCCTGACTCAGCATGGTGTGCTTGATGGGGAAGAAACTGGGCAGTGGACCCCTGGGTTTGAGGGGTGTGAGTTGGGGGTCTGGGATCCTTGGAGGTCCTGGGCAGCCTGAGCCAGATCACCTGGGGAAGACTAGGTCCATCAGCATTCCTTCATCACCTACTAGAGCTAGCCCTTGTAAATGAAGAGGACAACTCAAAAGCCAGGATTCTCCCTAATTGGTTGGAAGCAAGGGTGTGTGGGTGGAAGGAAATGGCTCTTAAAAAAAAAGAAGAAGAAGAATGAAGTGATGGCTGGACGTGGTGGAGCACACCTGTAATCTCAGCACCTGTAATCTCTCTCAGAGGCAGGAGAGTCTTGAGTTCAGGGCCAGCATGGGTTACCTAGTGAATCTCTGTTTCAAAAACAAGTTAAATCAGCCCAGAGTTGAGAACTGAGGCAGGTAAAGCTTTGAGAGCCCATGACTCAATGAACGGTGAGCAGGATCTCCTGAGTTTTGTCTTGTATGTTTTGTGGACTTTTATTTTCAAGAGGGTACTGGGTCATACCCAGGGTCTTGAGCTTGCTTAAGAGTAAAACTTTGAGATTTTTCCTGGGTAAATAATCCTCAAGTCTTCAAGCAACACGCTGCAAGAAGACTGCCTACTATTTATTGAAGTTTTACGATATGCCAGTTGTCTTATCCGTGGGACTTTTACAACAGTGGGATGTTTTAGGTTTTCATCCCCCCAGTAGTAGATAGAGATGGATTTTGAGGGTGAGTGATAGTTTTGTGGTCCCTGAGCTATTTACGAGTCCAGATTTGGTTACATTTTTCTCCAGAATGTAGAGGTCAAAACGTGTACTGTGTGTGTGCCTGGGGACATCCTGCTGTGGAAGGCTTGAGCAACAGGGTGATTCCTGCTACCTCCTGGGGAATGCAGCAGAGCAGGCCAGGCCCTGTCCAACTGTCACCACTCCCACCCAAGCCTCCCCCAGATCCCTGCCTCCAGAAGGCCTCTTGACTAGTCTTCATGCTAAGCTGCTTCTGCCACTGGACCTTGCAACACATCTGTTCATATGTCCTCCTCCAGTACTGAGGATAGAACCCAGGGCCTTGTGGATGTAAGCAAATGCTAACCCTCATCCCCAGCCTTCTTTTTTTTTTTTTTTTTTTTTTTTTTTAACTTTGAGACAGTTACACAGGCTGGTCTGGAACTTGCCATCCTCCTGCCTTGGCCTCCAGAGTCGGGGTTACAGGCTGTTAAAATCTTACAACCCATTTTTGTGTGTGTGTGTGATGCTGAGGCTGGATTTCAGGGCCTCACCCAAATAACTCCTATTACTACTGAGCTGCACTCTGCCCAGATGTGTGCCAACACACCTGGTTTCCATTTTGGTTATCTGAGCTGTAAGAGTTTGTTGTAAATTATATATCTATATGTATATATAGATATATATATATATATATATATATTTTTTTTTTTTGGCAGCACTAGGGTTTGAACTCAGGGTCTCACGCTTGCAAGGCAGGCGCTCTACCATTTGGGCCACTCCACCGGCCCCTTTTTCTGATGGGGTTTTTCGAGATCGGGTCTCGTGAACTATTTGCCTGGGCTGGCTTCTAACCACGATCCTCCTGACCTCTGCCTCCTGAGTAGCTAAGGTTACAGGCGTGAGCCACTGGCGCCTGGCTATGGGATTGCTTTTGCCAAATGTGGCAGTGCATCCCTGCAATCCCAGCCTTCTGGAAGCTAAGGCAGGAGGATCTCCAATTCCAAACCAGCCTGAACTCCGTAATGCGACCCTCTCTCTTAAAAAAAAAAAAAAAAGACTGTGGGAGGGAGGCTGGGGACGTAGTTCAGGTGGAGCGCTTGCCTAGTTTACAAAGCACCACAAGAAAAAAAATTTCTGACAGCGACCAACTAGGCACACGCCAGCAGCTGGAAGCCGTGCTAGGCAAGTAGCAGCGCGCATGCGCAGTGTGCGGCCCACCCCCCCCGGGCGCCGGCTGCGCGCGCAGCCCCAACCGCCGCTTAACGGCCGGCCCCCTCATGTCTGAGCGCGCAGGCTCTCTAGGGGGCGGGGCCGGGAGCGCGCGCCGCCGCACGTGCGCAGGGGTGGGCATGCGGAAGGAGGGGCCAGCGCGTGCGCAGAGGACACGAGCGAGAAGGCGGGAAAAGCCCGAATGGAGCGACAGGGAGTGAGCGGGGTTGTCGACTTTCTTCGCGAGGGCGGCGGGCAGATGGGCAGGGAAAGGCCGCGATCCCGAGCTTGCCCGGCAGACCTGGACCCGGTTACTTGTCTCCGACCAAGTGGGGCCAAGTCTCGCCCCACTTTGTCCCAATTCCCTGACTGACTGACTGACGCTCAGGCAGCGTCGTCTGAGACTGACGATGGCGCGGGACAGGAGTGGGGTAGACCGAGGTCCCGGCACGCCACTCCCGGTCCTTTTCTGCTGCTTCTTTTCCCTTCCCTCTTTCCTCCAAGGACTTGAGGCGACGCCCCCGGCGCCCCGGCCACTGCAGGTGTCCCCACCTCGGGGGCGGGAGGGAGGGTGCCCCATTCAGCGGCCCGGCCTGGGGTGCACAGGTGGCGGGGCTGGGGTCGCAGCACGGGTTCCAGGCGCCGGCTGTGCTCGCAGGTGGACGCGGCCCACGTGGACGCCAAGGACGTGGAGCCCATGGCGGATGGCAGGGAGCCGCAGCGGGGCGAGGAGGAGGCCGGCGGGGGCCCGGCGAGGTGAGGAAGGGGCCGCGCCCGCGTCGTCCTGCGTCGCCCCCGGCTCCACAAGAGCTCCCTCGCGTGTCCCAAGTGCCACCCAGGGGGCTGGGGTGCAGCACACTTCGTCCCTCCGTGCGGATCCATGGGGATCCCACCAGGTCGGCTCCAGAACCCTCATGGAACCCGAATTTGCAGAGGCTGGAGGGGGCCCCTTCTGGAAAATGGCTTCCGGTTGGTATAGAACCCACGCACAGCCTCCTCAAGACCTTCAATCACAGGCGACAGTATGGTCCCCAAGTACACATCTTCCCTGTACATCCACAGGGATGGGCTCCAGGACCCACCTCAGATACGCAAATCTGCAAATGCTCAGGTCTCTTCTATAAAATGACTTAGATTTGCATAGAGTCTATGCAGTCCTCCCTAGACTTTAGTCAAAGGAGACAGTAAAGTCCCTGGTACACATCTTCACTACACATCCGCCAGGCTGGACTTCAGGACACCCCCATGGAACCCAAATCTACAGATACTCCCTTCTATAAAATGGCTTAGTGTTGGCATAGGACCCACACACAGCCTCCCCTAGACATTCAGTCAGAGGAGACAGTAAAGTCCCCAATACACATCTTCATTACACTGGGATCCCCCTCAGATGCCCAAATCTGCCTATGCTTAGGTCACTTCTATAAAGTGGCTTAGTGTGTGCATACAACCCATGCTTAGCCTCTCCTAGACCTTCAATCATCTCTAAGTGACAATACCTGATAGTGTCATATCAGCTCTACAGGAGATGGAGGTGAGAGGATCACAGCTTGAGGCTGGCCCCAAGCAAAAGTGTGAGGCCCTATATGAAAAATAACTAAAGTAAAAAGGACTGGGTGTGGCCTGATGATAGAGCACCTGCCTAGCAAGCACAAGGCCCGGAGCTCAAATCCCAGTACCATTAACAACCAAAAACAAATCCAAATCAGAGAGGAGGATTTCCTGATCTCTTGAAACCCTATCTTGAAAATATCCAACATAAAAAAGGGCTGGTGGAGTGGCTTAGTGGTAGAGAGCCTGCCTAGCAAGCTCCAGGCCCTGAGCTCAAACCCCAGTACCACTAATAAAACAACAAAAAGCCTGATACAGGCATACCTTGGAAATACTGCAGATCTGCTCTAGACCACTGCAATAATGTGACTATTGCAATAAAGAACCATGCTCATTTTTTGGTTTATCATTACATATAAAAATTATGTTTTCACTACTCTGTAGTCTACTAAAGTGTTCAATAGCATTGTATCAAAAAAAAGACAGGGCTGAATGGGTGCCAGTGGCTCATGCTTGTAATCTTAGCTACTCAGGAGGCAGAGATCAGGAAGATTGTGGTTCAGAGCCAGCCCCAGGCAAATAGTATTAGAGACCCTATCTCAAAAATACTCAACACTAAAAAGGACTGGCAGAGTGGCTCAAGTGCTAGAGTGCCTGTCTTGTAGGTATGAGGCCCAAAATTCAAACCCGAGTACCACCAAAAGATAAGAAAGAGGGTTGGAGGGGTGGCTCAAGTAGTACAGCACCTGCCTAGTAAGTGTGAGGCCCTGAGTTCAAACCCTAGTACCTCCAAATGGGAAAAAATAAAAGATAACATACATACCTTAATTAAATATACTTTTTTTTTTTTTTTTGCAGTCCTGGGGTTTGAACTACACCTTGAGCCACTCCACCAGCCCTTTTTCTGTGATTTTTTTTTCCAGATAGGGTCTCTCAAGCTATTTGCCCACAAATAGTCTGGCTTCAAACTACAATCCTCCTGATCTCTACCTTCTGAGTAGCTAGGATTACAGGTATGAGCCTGTACCGATGGCACCAATAAATTTGCTGCACACAAAGTTGGCAAAAACCAACCGGTAAAGAAAAACATGGAATTTCTAGGAAGCATAATAAAGCAAAGTGCAATAGAATGACATATGCCTGAAAGTAAGTGCTATGTAATTTATTGTAATGTATTGTTTAGGGACTATTTACAAGGAAAAAGTCTTTGGTACAGGTGCAATTCTTTTTCTAAATTTTTTCTTTTATTTAATTATTATTATTGGTGCTAGGAATTGAGCCCAGGACCTTGCACATGCTATTCTGATTTTTCCTCCCTTCCTTCCTTCTTTCCTTCTCTCCCTCCTTTCTTCCTTTCTTCCTCCTTCCTCCCTCCCTTTCTTTCTTCTTTCCTTACTTTCCCCTTCCAGTCCTCCTTTCCTACCTTCCTGTTCTTTCTCTTCTTCCTTTTCTTCCCCTTCTGACCCTTCCCCCCCTCCCTACTGTCCTTCCTTCTTTTCTTTCTTTCTTCCTTCCCTTCCTTTCCTCTCCCTCCTGTCTTTCCTTCCTGTTCTTTTTCTTTTTTCCTTCCTTTCCTTTTTTCTCTCCTTTCTTCCATTTTCCTTTTTTCATTTCTCCTTCCCTTCCTTCCTTTTTTCTTTCTTCCTCCTGTCCTTCCTTGTTATTTCTCTTCTTTCCCTTCTTTCTTCCTGTTTTCCTTTATTCCTTCTGCCTTCCCTCCTTTTTTCCTCCTTTCTCCCTTTTTTCTTTCCTTCCTCCCTGCCTTCCTGTTCTTTTTCTTCTTTCTTTCTTCCTTCCTCCCTCCCTGCCTCCTTTCCTGTTCTTCCTTGCTGTCTTCCTTCCCCCTTCCCCTCCTCCTTTTTTTTCTTCCTCTTTCCCTTCCTTCCTTTCTTTATTTTGCAGTGCTAGGGATGGAACTCAGGGCATTGTGCATACCAGGCAAGGGCTGTACCGGTGAGCTATACCCCCAGTCCCTATTCTGAATTTTTTGGTTTCATTTGGTTTTGAGACAGGGTCTGACTATGTAGTTTAGACTGATCTGAAACTCACTTTGTGGCGTACCCTGGCCTCAAAGTCTGGATATACTCCCCTGCCTCCTGAATGCTTAGGATTACAAGCATGCATCACCATGCCTGGCTTCTTCTGAATGTTTTTGATCTGCGGTTATTTGAATTCATGGATGCCAATCTCTGGATTCAGAGGGCTCACTGTATAGCATCAGGGAATATCATCGTCTTATCAGCTATGTGCATGAGGGAAAGAGGAGCAAGTGATGGTGGACGGTTTAGATCAGGGGATCAGGCCTCACAGAGGAGGTGACAGTAAACTGTGAGGGTAGGAAGGGCCTGCTTCAGGCAGAGGAAAGGCTGTTGTAGAAGCTCAGAGGGAGCACTGTGCTGGAGCAGCGCTGTTTCAGAGGGAGATAGTAAGAGGTGTTGCTGAACTTTGAGTATTAATTGTTCGTGAGAGGGTTTGGGATGGAGGAACTACACCATGAGCCTGTGGCACTGGTTAGTGGCCTATTGTTAATGAGGTTTTATTGGAACCCAGCCACGCTGTTCCTTTACCTACAGTCTGTGGCTGCTTCCTGCAGAGCTGGATTGTTGCGAAAGAGTCCATGGTTTGTAAAACTGAAGAGATTTACTGCCTAGCTGTCTAGAGAAGTGTTACCTCCTGGTACTGAAGTATTAAAAGGCTCCCTCTGGCTGCCGTGCAGAGAACAGGTTGTTACAAACTTTTGGGTGAGGAGAGAACTGGAATAATCTGATTACCCCACAGATGACTGGGGCCTGGCCTGTGTTAGGCTTACGGACACAGTGAGAAGTGGTCAGATTCCGAATAGACAGAAACTTCTACTCTGTCTATTCTATGCTGGGTGAGAAAAAGGCATCAGGGATGATTAAAAAATTTTTTTTCTGTATTGAGCACCAGTGGTCATGCCTGTAATCCCAGCTCCTTGAGAGACTGAGATCAGGAGGTTTGAGGCTCAAGGTCAGCCTAGGCGAATAGTTTGTGAGACTCCCCCCCCATCTCCAAAGTAACTATAGCAAATGACTGGAGATTGGCTCAAGTGGCAGAAGGTCTGCTTTGCAAGCATGAAGCCCTGAGTTCAAACCCCAGTCCCACTAAAAAAATAAAGAAAAGGAAAAATAATGAAAGCAACAAGGGGTATGGGTTGAATGGTAGAGCACCTGTCTAGCAAGTATGAGGCCTTGAGCTCAAACCTTAGTACCTCCCAAAAGTTTTTTTCTTGAGTCAACGTGCCAGGTAAAACTTTATTTTATTTATTTTATTTTTTGGGTGTAGTATCACCCAAAGAGTTTTAGGTTTCACATTTCAGATTTTGGAGTACTAATGTTCAGCCTGTAACAGCTCTGTTGAGATATGATTCACATGCCATACAGTCAGCCTACTTGAAGACTACAATTGTTTTTAATGTAGTCACAGAACTGTACAACTAGTACAGTCTAGTACCACAGTCAGGTTTTTTTTAAGTTTCTTTTTTGGCAGTATTGGGGTTTGAACCTCAGAACCTCACACTTGCTAGACAAATTCTCTACCACTTGATCCACACACTTGCTCCTACGTCTTTGGTTTCTTTTTGGGAGCAAGGTTAAACTTAAGTCCTCAAGCTTTCTAGATAGGTACTCTTACCACTTGAGCCACTCCAGTAGCCCTGTTTTATTGTATGTTTGTTTGTTTTTGTTTTTTACAGTACTGGGGTTTGAACTCAGTTCCTACACCTTGAGCCACTCCCCCAGCCCTTTTTTGTGAAGGGTTTTTCAAGATAGGATGTCACAGAACTATTTGCCTGGACTAACTTCTAACTATGATCCTCCTGATCTCTGCCTCCTGAGTTGCTAGGATTACAACATGAGCCACCGACACCTGGCATATTTTTTGCTTTCTTGAAATAAGGTCTCACTATATAGACCAGGCTAGCCTTGAATTCTTTTTTTTTTTTTTCATTATGGTACTGGGGTTTGAACTCAGGACTTTGACTTACGAGGCAAGTGCTCTACGACTTTCAGCCATGCCCCCAGTCCCTCTGAGAACTTTTTTTTTTTTTTTTTTTTGGTGGTTGTACTAGGATTTGAGCTCAGGGCCTCCTACTTGCTAGGCAGATGTTCTACTACTTGACCCACAGCTCCAATCTCTGGCCTTGAACTCCTTATTCTCCCACCTCAACCTCTGAAGTGCTGGGA